TGATTTGATGACCTTTTAAAACACCCTATATATAAACACCTAGATCTCATGGAATATCTTTTTAGTACAAACTTCGATGACAATGACTCAACCTTGCATCGTACATAATATATATATATACGTACATAACAGATGCACATAAATGAATGTGAATTAACCGAATGACTTTGAAACCAACTTTTCTACTGTTCAAGGTATTTCCTATCATACTTTTTGACAAATGCATTATGAATACAAATTATACTCATTGTTTGTGGTTATAATTTCTAAATCATATGAATTGTATTAGATCGACATGTATAAATATACTGGCTCATATTCATCAATATATACAAAAATATTCAAATAAACATTACAATATGTGCAAATATAAAACTGTATTGTTTGTTAATTTTAAATGATTGGAAAATGCCAAAGTTAAAAAGTTCAAAATCATGGTTCAAAGAATAAAAAAGGCAAAAGTAGGAGTGAAAAGTTGATTGTGTTTTAACGTGTTAGAAGCTAACGATTTCTCGATTAAATATGAAAGCATAACGCGAAGAAAGTTTCGTGAAAAGAATATCGAAAGTCGATGCCGAACTAAATGTAACGAAATAAATATGTATAAATATGATTCGTAGGAAATTAGGAAACAGATTGAAATAGAATAGAAAATCTCATATTGCTGTAGCACGAAAAATGATAAATAAAGCAGCAACAGGAAACGCATCGTGTGCCTACGTATGAAATAAATATCGTCGAGTAGTGACAAGTTTCGCGTTTTGTTTCATACGATAACGTAAAAGCTCACTACGATATCTCGAAACGATATGAAAACGATAAGAAAATGATTCGACGATTATCGCAAGGTGTTCTTTTACGATTTCTACAAAAGTATTCTATTTAATCACAAAGGTAGTATTATAATAAATTTTTATTATATTTGTTATTTTTTTCGCATTTGCATTGCATAATACATTGCAAAAGAAAAACAAATATAAATATAAAAATTTATTCCAATATAATTGATAGTTAATTGAATAAAATATAATATTATATATTTATGTTAGATAAAATAGGCAATATAAGATAAAATCAAAATGAAATTATACAATGGAATAGTATTAACATAAAAGCCTACCTTAATGCCAGCCTCGGTTTTATTGTACCAAGTTTTCCGTCTTTTAATCGTCGTCGACATTTCGATCTTCTTCGAACACACGATTCACTCTTTAACTCTTACAAGAAGAAACTTGTCGTTACTGCGACAATTCAGTAGTCTTTATTAAATAACGACTCCTGTCATTATCCTTTCATCGTCGATAACCTTTTTTGATTAATACAATGATAGAACAAAGTAAAGGTACAAACCCGATTCGTAAAACCAGGTGGTAAAAAAAAAAGCACAATACGTAAACACGGTTCTTTTAACGAACGACGTTAATTCATTCAATTAGTTTGATGAAACGACAATTCAACGTCGGTAACACGGTGCAAGAAACATACGTTTCTCAAATTAAATTGCTTGTCAGAAGAGACATACCTATTCGTCTTTATCTACATACTTTCCCTTTTTCGATAAAAAAAATCACACATCTATATATATACTTTACTTACATATGTATGTGTGTATGAATTCGCGTGCAATTAATTACATTCCTCCTACTCTTTCTCATAAAAGATGATAAATCAATTTTTGTCTTCTAAACATTAAAATCATTGCCATTTTATTTTGTCACGATATTTAGTTTATTTTCATGAACTCGAACAAAAAGATACGATAAGGTCTATAAAACTCTTTCTTTTTATTACCAATTTAAAAAGAAAAAAAGAACATCAATAAAATAAAGTATAAAATTTCGGCTTTTGATACAAAAATATCACTATCTCGTTGATTTTATTTTGATGGAAAAATTTGAAAAAGACGACAACACAACTGAGAAATCATTTGTTTTTGAAAAAAAAAGAAAAACTATTCAAGAATTGGTCACGTATGCCTCGGCACCGATAATACCTCGACGCTGACTACCAGCAGAACTGGTATATTCTGACATACCTTTCACGTTAAATATACTTATGTTAGCCCGGTAGAAGTCAGAGCACCTCTCTATTGTACGAACATTCTCGTTATGAAATGTTCTACGTGATAAGACGAACGTTCACACATACGCACGTACACGCATACATAGATATATACATATTTATATATAATATACAGGTGACAGAGCACGCACTATAAAAACGAAACTATACGTATATGGTGAACGATAATCTCTGCAAACGTAATGTACACTAAATTCTAATGAATTCTATGATGATTTCTTTCTTTAAATATTCTATAAAAAAATTCTATATAACGAGAATTAATTGCATTCACTAGCTCGTTACTTTAGAACAAAACCAAAAAATAAATAAATAAATTTCCTTTTTTATTTGAACATATTCATTTTGAAACATTTTATTTCTATCACTCTTTAGAGACAATAATTTTTTATTTATAATCTATTTTTTCTAATTGATCTCTCTCATACCCCCTTCCCTCCCATCACCCCTMCCTTTGTTTTCATTCCCTTCAATATCCAAAATATAATTTTAAATTATATCATATAAAAATATAATTTTTTTTATATTTTCAAAAAATCATTCGCAATGATTAGCATATTACTTACAAATCCACCTGAAGCTTTGTCCCTTCTGTTGGCCATATTGTAATTTCTTCTAATGGATGTATCTTCTCTATATATTTTAAATTTCCATAGTCTGTAATAAAAAAATAAAAAAGAAATGTATGTTAGTCTGAAAAAGTATCAATGAACTTATACATTTCTACTTTACAACCGATACAAGGTTAACAACTGGTAACAAAGTTACAGTAATCGAGACATTGTATAAATTTTATTAAAGATGAATAATAAAATGGAAACAAATAATAAGAAAAACAAGTACATTCACACCTTTGAAAGAAATATGAGAACGTTGGCAGATCCAAAGTATCTATAGAATATTCTAACCGACTCTCTACCACTGAATTCTAAATTTAGATGAAATCTAACAGGTGGTTCTTGTGCCAATAGCTGGGTTAAAGCAAATTTTATTGACTTTAAACAGGTTGGAACACTATCAATGTCGTTTACTCTTAAAACATAGCGAACATATATACCATTCTTGTATATTGATCCATACAACAATAATTTTTTCATTCAATAACTTTAATTAATGTATCTTATTATCGTAAAGATAATATTTAGGAAATTTAATTTAAATTACATTCATTAATACAAATCTTAAGTAAATTATATTCTTTTTTAGATTGACTTCTAATCTTAAATATATTATTTTATACGATTAACAATTTACAAGACATCATTTTACAGCAACTAAATTAGGAAATCTGTTGTATAATAAAAGAATAAAGAAAAAGTATGAATAAAATATGAATAAAGAATAACATTTGCTTAAATATCTGCATTATCATACCACCAATTAATATCATAAATAAATAAAATTTGTTTAAATATCTAAATGTGTAATATACAAAATGGATTTTGATCACCACTATTTTAAACACATTCGATTATGTAAAAACGAAAAATAAAAACAATTTTAATTCAATACTAAATCATTCCTAAACCACTTGGCTGATATTGACAAGGTACCTTAACCTAACAAGGACGCTACTCTAAAAATAAATTTAAAAACTATTCGATCTGAAAATTTGATATAATTCGTAAAGATTTCTAGAATCATTAGTAAATGATCGTTTAACATTCTCAAACACACTTCATTTATTTTAATTTCTAATGTAAGAAACTTTCACATCGAACACACTTACCCGAACACTATTCGATTGAAAATTCGTCCGCTCGCTCAAAAATACACCAATTTAATTGTAAATATGTAAACCAATGGACCGATTTTATGATTTATTATTTTCACTGATATTTATAACGCGAAAGTTAATTTAAAGGTAACTACCACCGTTATTTACAAACTTCCCGGAAGGGGAAAGATCAATTGTACATATATATATATATATATAAATTTTTTTTTTTCGCGGCAACCAGGATAAATTAAAACGACCTTATCCGTTATATTTTTATAAACATACATTCACGCACACATATATTTATATATTTATTTATCTACACACATTTAATTTCATTAGAGACGGTTAAACCATCCATAAGTTTTGCTTCCTACATTTTAAATAAATTTCTACGCGAGTATCGTGTGATCATTATTTTGACACATTTTCCTGGGTGTTCGGTTAGAATAAAGCATCAGAGAATAAACTTGAAAACGCTCGTTATTACTCGTTGCGTTTATTACAACGGTTCCACATTACACGATGCTGTGCTCTGCGAGGGAAACCAAAAAAGAATTTTATTTCAGAGAGTAGATCTAGTAATACAATGTGTACGATTTCGAACGCCACCTAGCAGACTATCGATACAACTAAATCATCCCCACTATTCATGCCCTAGGGATCCTGTAGGAGGGATGCGCCATTCATATTCAGCTCATGTGCCATTGGCTGAAAATTTTGGGGGACCGCTTGAATTTATAATAATTTTTTCGTGTAACCTATTCTATTTTAATATAAAGTTTTAATTATCATTAAATATAGTATATTTTTTTTCTGTATTTGATGCAATTCATTATTTCATAATTATTTCAATGTTTGAATCATTCGCTCGCAAAATCGAGTTCCGGTCCCCCAGTAATGTACATGGCGCATCCCTCCTATAGGATCCCTATCATGCCCCAATCTTAAGTATCACCTAGCGAATTGACGATATAACTAAATTCTTCCCAATCATCATTGTGATTTGTCTTATTCGTTTCTATTTAATCGTAAACAATACAATTTTAAATTAAATAACTGTATTTTAATTTTTATAATCCTGTTAATTCATGGATTATAAGCTATTATCATTTAAAAAAATAATTGTTGATCGAAAGAACAGAAAGTGTTGTTTATAATTGTCCTTATGATTTTCAAACTACGAGTACTTCCTCTAGTAATTTTATATACTTCATGAGTAACGTTGTGTTGTAGAAACACAAACTTAAGCATAACCAAGAATCAAAAAAGACATTAATATATTTATGTGCATAATTATAATAATAAAAAAACTAATGCAACACATAAAAAATGAATTGAATTTAATATCGTTACTTAATATGCTTTCATTATAACCTAACTTAAAATTTTTCATTTTTGTTTAATTTTTAAAAGTATAGTGAAATAAGTTAATGCTTCAAAATAATGTCCAACACAATAAGTGGAAAGAATCTGTTACGTCCTTCCGGACTACAATGCAAAAATTTACACGAATATTTAAAGTCACGTCCGCCAGAAGTGTTAAGTAAATTATATCACAATCCGCCTATATGTTTGGCTGTGTTTCGTGAACTGCCTGTTATAGCTAAACATTATATCATGAGATTATTATTCGTCGAACAGGCAGTTCCACAAGCAGTAATAGCTTCTTGGTGTTCTAAACTCTACCTCGAGGATCATCAAAAAGTAGTTATAATTTTAAAAGAATTAAATATATGGAGAGAAACTGCTTTGCCTGGAGGATTACCAGGTTGGATTGTACATGCATCTTTTAAAAAGAACTTAAAAGTTGTTCTGTTAGGAGGTGGTAAACCATGGACAATGTCTAATCAATTAGAAACTGATAGTAAACCTAGAGATGTAGCATTTTTAGATGGATACGCATTAGAAAGATGGGAATGTGTTTTACATTACATGGTTGGTTCTCAGCAGCAAGAAGGTAAATTCATTTAACACTACATACTATATAAGTTATGCAAATGATTTAACAATTTTAAAATTGGCATCAGGTATCTCGGCTGATGCTGTGAGAATACTTTTACATGCTGGTTTAATGAAACGAGATGAAGCCGATGGTAGTCCAATTATCACACAAGCAGGTTTTCAATTCTTATTGTTAGACACTGCGTCACAAGTATGGTACTTTATCTTGCAATATCTAGATACGATAGAAGCAAGAGGTCTTAATTTAGTTGAGTGCCTTACATTTCTATTTCAACTAAATTTTTCAACGCTTGGTAAAGATTATAGTACTGAAGGCATGTCCGAAGGCTTATTAACATTTCTACAACATCTCAGAGAATTTGGACTTGTCTATCAACGTAAACGAAAAGCTGGAAGGTAATTCAATTTAATATAATTTTAATAACTATTTTTCTTTTATCTATACTGATTTTTTTGAATTATTTCTTATTTCTCGTATTAGGTTTTATCCAACCCGTTTAGCATTAAACATAGCAACTGGGCAAAATAAACCATTAACTAAAGAGACTGGAAAAGAAGGATATATAGTTGTTGAAACTAATTACAGAGTATATGCTTATACAAATTCAAATTTGCAAGTTGCTTTGCTTGGATTATTTTGTGAAATGTTATATAGGTAAATCTAATAATTTCCATATAATCAGAAAAATGAGTTCTTATTATTGTTAAACGACAATCTTGCAGATTCCCAAACTTGGTGGTTTCAATATTAACAAGAGATTCAGTACGACAAGCTTTAAAAAGTGGAATTACTGCGGCACAAATTATAGGGTATACAATTATAATTTATTTCATTTAATATTTTTTTATCAATAATCTCTAACTATATACTTAAATATTGTACATTAAAGTTAATTTGCGTTCTGCTATATTAACAGTTATTTGCAGCAGCATGCACATATTAAAATGTTAGAGGCAGGTCCACCTACGTTGCCTCCGACTATTGTGGATCAGATTAAGTTATGGGAAAATGAAAGAAATAGATTTCTGTTTAGCGAAGGAGTCCTGTATAGTCATTTTCTATCTCAAACCGATTTTGAAGTGCTTAGAAATCATGCACTTTCTACAGGTGTTCTGATCTGGCAAAATGACAGGTATGACAACAAAAATAAAAAGTTATTTTGACTTTTTCTTATTCTATATAATATGTTATTACTATATGCATTAAATAGAATATTGCTGTATTATTAAATTTGTTAATTTCTATGTAGAAAACGAACAGTGGTAGTAACGAAAGCTGGTCACGATGATGTGAAAAAGTTTTGGAAAAGATATTCAAAAGGTTCCTCTTGAAAAATGTTAAGATTAAACAACATTGATGGAATCAAATTAAAAATTTAAATATCACAAACGTCTTACATTTTCATTATGTTCCTGGATAAAGATTTTTTTCAAGTGAAATAAATATTCACATAAACATTATGTACAAATACAGTATAGATATTAATATAGTTCGTAAAACTACCAATGAAAATACGACATGAAAAAGATATACAATATACGACGTTTTAAAATTTGTATTAAGTAAAGCTATTTATAAATAATGAATAGATAAATGACGAATAAAATATATTCAAATAATTAAACTATGTATTACAATATTATTGAATTTTATTTCTTTCATTTTTGCGTTTTTACAGTAAATGAATTTGGTCATATTGATAATAAAAATTAATAATAATAAAAAAAGAGCATGTAATTACCATTATATCCGACGTCTTAATCAATAAAATTTATCGTTTTATTTTTTGCTCTTTTATATTTATTTAATGATAATTGTAATTAAATTGGATGCTTATCAACACACTAATTATGATAGTGATAATTTTAAAGTCTATATCACAGATTGTGTATAGTTTTATATAAGAATAGTATTTAATGTCAAGGTTATTAATCCTTAACAGAAATACTTGGTTAATATGTAACACTGTTTAGCATCAATCCCACATATTCGATGCCGAAGGAACTGGATGTCAGCGTTGTGGTGCTGCTTTTGGTTTAGGCATTTTAGACAATAACCCCTGTATCTCCTTCTTTTCATCATACGTTTTCCACAATTCATATAAATTTATAATGTAACGAGCTATTTCTTGAATTTTTTCCATATCTGCATTTAATTCCGCAAACCATGATTTGAGATCTTTTTGTAATATTACACATGCAATTTGTAAGCATCCTACAATAGATTAATTTGAAAATTAGTTCATCACAAAATGTATAATATTTATCAATTATTATAATTCTTACCAATAGCTATTTGATATGGTGGATAAAGAAGACATACGTCTGTACGTAAACTATCATTTATAATACGCCAAGCTAATGTTAATAATTGATCATCTGGTCCTACATCTTGAATAAGAATTAAAAGAGGTCTATATGGTTGGTATACAATTAAACAACAATCTAAATGCTCCAAAAGATAAAATTCACATTCAAGAATATGATTTGTACGATATGGAAATTCTTGAGAGTACGCATAATTAAATTTGTTTTTTACTAGAAAAAAAATACAGCATAATAAATAACAAATATTTATAAATTTAAATATAATTCTAAGTATATATGCTTTTTTTCACATACCTACTGTTTGACAAGTTGTTATTAGCCTTGTATTAGAAATAACTCCAAATTCCTCAACTTTTGAAGCTAAGAAGACTGATGTAGGAGCTAATAATAGAGGATCAATACATTTCAAACTATTACGAGCATAGAACCTTTTAAAATATACTGTCGCAGTAGCAATTACTTGCTGTCTTAATTTCAATTGTTCACCTAATACTTGAATAACTGAAATAAATATAAGAAAAAAATTAAAATGATAAACAATAATAAATGTAATCGAATATAATATATATAAACCACTCATTTGTCAAATCAACAAACAACCATAACAAATATTGCTATTTAATAATTTTAGGCACAACAAACTAATTTTAAATATGAAAAGTTAAGCATCCATTAAGCACACTTTGATATCAAAATATTCTTAAAGTTAAATTCATTACTTTGACCTATGAATGGTTCCCATAATGTAGAAATGTATTATGTCAAACTTACGATTGGAAAAAAAGATAAAAAGTTTTTGATATTCTTCTTCTGTTAAAATAGATAAGTCATGCTGTCGTTCTCGTACTAAATCTTGTTTGTCAAGTAACCATTGTTGACTATAAAATAAAATTTTTTAATAATTCATCATTTCATTTATTATATTGTAATATATAAATAACTTACTGGTGAGAACTTTGCCAAAAATTTCCAGCCATTCTTCAATATTAGATCAGAATATTTTAATTGCTAGAAATAAACAATTATAGGTGCATATCTCTCTCTATTTCTAAAAGATTTAAACTTTACTTACATATACATATATATATTATATTTACATTTATGTATATTACTACGAATGAAAAAAATGTAAAAACCTTATTTTCAAAATGAATTATCAATTTAACTAAAATTTGATTAAACAATGCTTCTGTTTTATATGAAATAACTGTACTATTGGATTACATATATATGTTTATTTACATGCTATTATAAAAAATATACACGTGTAGAATCAATCAGAAAAGACTGCATGCTCCATGACAAATATGTAGTGCTTTAGAAAACAAAGAGGCAAATATTCGATTACCATATTCTTTCTCTGTCTTACTCATGTATCTGCATATATGCAGAGTTACACACATACAACTGATAAGATTGCACACATAAAATTTAATATTCGCGGGAAAAATAAAGAAATAGTTATACGTACAAAATCATTCAAGGTACGATACTACATAGATTTTTAATAGTAGTTTATTATTAGCACAAATTATATTATATTATTTATTATAAATATTTCTTCAAGTATTCAAAGGTGTAAAAAATTAATTTTAAACTTAATCATTTACTATACCTATGTATCTTATAATGTATATGTGTAGCCAATCAAATGGCTTCTATGTTTAACCTAACACAATATCTGTGACGTCTCGCACCAGCACGGTGCTGACACCTCTCGGCCGCCAGCACTAGCATCGCTATGCGCCACGGGATACGGCCCTGCAGGAGTTGTGCAGGTTCAATAGGGGCATTATCTGCCCTGGCCACGCGGCTTGACCACCGTGACGTAGAGGCATCTGATTGGTCTGACCACTCGGCGTATGCGCTCCCGGGACATTCAATTGGTCTGGATTGCAGCATGATCGCTGCGATCGTCTCTCTCTCTTCTACCTGCAACACTTGGATCGGCATTATAATTTATTATTTCGTCCACTTGCTTATTGTCCGCCGATCCAGTAGTAGCTTACCATTGTACTCCGCATCAACATCCTTTGTATTTTTCACACTACACGTTGTACACCACCATCTGTGAATAAAGGCTCGTCCTATGAGATCGTAATTAGAAAGGAGATTTCTTTCTCACACAACCTCGTGCTCCTATTGGTCAGTTCCTCGCTCATGGAACGATTCTCTGATTAAGGAAAACACGCCTTAACGGTTCCAAGACCACCGAGAAGGAAATTCCAAATATCTTTAGAAATGTATAAATTTGAAGTATACATCTGCTTTATCTTTCAAAAAACTTTAGATTATTTTGTATTTTAAATAATACTTTAGAAAATAAGTAATAACAATTTTACGAGTTAATTATTATTCTGTGTTATATACAATTAACAGTGTAAATAGTATATTATCGAGTTTCCAATCTTTCAATCATATAACCATTGGATAAAAATATGTATACAACTTTTATATGCACTTGAAGGTTAGATTTTTCAGTGTAATTATTGTTACGTTAATAGTATAAAATGACATTTATATTAAGACCCTTAACCTTAAAGGGTACATTGAAAAATACATTTTTACCAATTACATGTTTCAAAAAAATAACCAATTCATTGGTACATACATCGAAATGTAAGTTTTATTCAAATATATTCGCATAATTTCAAATGACGTTTTAAACATTACTAAATTAATGTCTTAAAAATTTCTTATTTTGTTTTAATGTTTGTTGTTTAAAATAACAAAGTAAAAATCGTACATGTAAAATTTATTAAGAAAAAGCAAGACACACAATTATTATGTAATATTCAAATAAATAATTATTATATCTTTGAATTTTTAGGGTTACTACATGGAGAATATGAAATGCAAGATCCAAAATCAGAAGCCGATGTGTAGGTAAACTCAACATTTAACGTTGAATATTTTTGTCCAAAGTATATATAAACTAATAGTAATAGATTATAGTAAATATTTATATTGATTTAATATACTTTCTACTTTATACTCCAGAGTAAATATTACATTTGTGGACAAAACAGGAAAGAAAATACCGGTGAGAGGTAAAGTAGGAGATAATGTACTTTATTTAGCACATAGGTATGGAATAGAAATGGAAGGAGCGTGTGAAGCTTCTCTTGCTTGTACTACATGTCATGTGTATGTAGATCATGATTATTTAAATAAACTTCCACAAGCAGAGGAACAAGAAGAGGATCTATTAGATTTAGCACCTTTCTTAAAAGAAAATTCAAGATTAGGTATATATGTACATATATATAATAAGTCACCTATTTTGTTAAAATTATGTCCACTTATAATTGTTATTTTAAATTGAAATTTCTTATTTTATTTTAGGTTGTCAAATAACATTAACAAAAGAATTAGACGGTATAGTAGTAGAATTACCTAAAGCTACTAGAAACTTTTATGTCGATGGTCATACTCCAACACCACATTAAAATAGATTTTATATATAAATATTTATAATTACATAGTTTATATATTTTAACAAATGATACTGCTAAAAAATATTTAGAAATTGTATAAAGAATAGTTATATTATTAAAATAAATATATTCAGTTTCGTAAATTAATACGTTACAATAATGTATTTAATATTCTTGTATGTAAAATGGTTTATATTTATCTAATGTTTCATTTTGGTACAATATATTTTATTTTTCATACAGTTGGATTATGATACATATTTTTTTAATTACAATGATACAAGATTTAAACATTTATGATACAATGAATTTGTGAATTAAAATCTTACTCGTTGATCTTGCAGCATTTACATTGTGTGTGAGAGTCTTATAGAACAAATTTATACAATCTAATCTCACATCACTTAAGTGCTGCCATAAACGTTTAACACTTGTTTTACTTTTGGCAGGCACTTTTGCGAATTATCCCAGTTTGATAATTTTTATAATAACTTTGTGTGTATTTATATGTGCATATCCGTTTAAATTTATTTATTTGTGTATAAATTTTTGCACATACCACTTTTGCCCACACAAACAAACACACGCATACATCACATATGAGCACGCACACATATTCATACATTCGCATATTCTTCTATTTGTATCAATGATTATTATCACCAATTATTATCATCCTTGTATAAATTATATTATTTATATTTTCTCTTGATTAATTGATTATTATGACCATAGATATTTTTAAAATGAGCTTCAATTACATTAAACATTCATACTAAATCGTTGAGAAAATTTAAACAAGATCCAAGCACACTTTATTCATCAATCTGTAAAAACCGTAATACACATATTTCTCATTTGGTATAGATCATCACAACAAACTTACAGAAAAAGTAACTTTTGTACTTTTCTATAATCAAACCAAGATTTATATTACGTAAATGATATTCTATAATAGAAATTACAATGTAATACTAAGAAATTCATATGTTATATATATAATTTTATAAGAACAAATATTAATTCAATAGTTAAGTAATATATTTATATATTTAAAAATACTTGCAATTTAGATTAAATAATATGTGCATTACAAATTTTTTGTAAAATTAAAAACAGCTTTATTATGTATATATGTATCCATATTAGTATAGATACGTATACATACTATAATACAATAAATATATTTGTTTAATTGAATTGCAAGTATTCATACATAAGAATATTATTTTTAATATTTGTTTTTAAATCAAAAGATTGAAAAAATATTTTAAAAATAAAAAAATGATCATATTTATAACCTAGTTTATGATTTTGCATGTATTAATAAATGATAAACAAGATTTTGTAAATATAACACATATAATTATTATATTAATGATCGTAAAGATGATATATATATGTATATATATATATATATATATTTTTTAAACATACTTTAAAAATCTTTGTACTCTAAATTTAGATTAAAAAAAAATTTATGAAATATTAACAACTAATGAACAGAAGTTAGTTATCGTGATTTGATTAATATCTTTTTGATATTTTTTTTATCATAACCATTATTTTACTTTATAAATAGAATTCTCTCAAATTCGTTAATTGCTATTCAGAACAAATATTTATGAAAATTTCAAAATTACTGTATTTATTCAGGAACCAATTTTCTAGTGTATTTTCTCTTTGCATAATATTATTATTTATATGTATGCTATTTTAATATTTAGAGAGTCAAGTATAATTATTAAGTAAATTATATAGATAGATATACTAAAATATAATTTAAAAATTACTGCATTCAGATGGACATAACGGAACACATTAATAAAATATTTACTATGAATGGATGGATGCTTAAAAATCAGTGTTCATAAATATGAACTACCATGGAAGAAGGCTAGCCATCATCATATGACATATAACATTTAGATACTTCAATAAAATTGTTCAAATAAAACGAGCATGTATGTATAGTAATAATATAGATGCACATACATTTTGAATTGAAGAGCAATAAATGTTCATTTTAAGAGGAAAATACAAATAGTTGTTTTGTATAAACTTTTGATACTTATTTTTTATGGCATATGAGGAGCAATCCATAAACACTAATATATTAATAGACTAGAAATATTGAACATAACAAAGTATTAATTATTTAAATAAGCATAGACGTGTGCTACTTTAAAAATACATTCTTTGTCATTTTGTACAATTCTAAAATATACCATGCATTGCTGTTATTAATGTTTGCAGAACAATCACATGCTTGTAGTTTAATTATATAACAAATAACATATTTCTTGTAAATTGCTTCTACAAATACAAATGTATTGTTAGCAATTTTGTAGTAATAATTTCTTAAAAATAATATTGTAAATATTTTACAATATATATCAATAAGCTGATCATGAAGAACTACCTAGCACATTTTGAAGCTTTGGTTTAAAAAATATATTACAATCTCTATATACATTCTCTTTATACATAGAGATAAATGTCAAGGTGATCTACATAATACGATAAACAAATATAAGAATCTTTGCAATGTTAAAATTGTGCTTAGCTGTAAAGTATAACAGCATGATCTATATTATGGCACTATTTATTTAAGAGTATCATGATTAAATGGCAATTAAATTTTTACAAATATGTAATCAGATCCGTAGATATTTCTTCAACATATCTTTTAAATATATATGTGTATATATCTCTTTCTAACATAATTAATTAGTAAAAATCAAGATAATAATTATTGCTTAAGCTAGCTGCTTCTTAATTCATATAAGATCAAATAAACTCTGGTTTTATTTAAATAACTGATAGTACTAAAATGAAAAATCATAAATATATTTACAGACTTTTAATAAAACTGACCTGCAAATAAAAAAGAAATTATCATTTTGTATAAATATTTTTATAATGTACAATATTAATGCATTAATGCATGTAATATACGAATAAATATCACCAAAAGAGAGCATAAACATTAGAGAGAACATTAAAATAAGATAATTTATTATCATTAACAAAAATAAGTAAAAATTAAGATAATAATTAGTATCGTGTATTTCTGTGAAATACTCTAAGTGCCATGAGTAGTTCTAAGAATCAGATCATTATTTAATTAGAAATCTGTTATATTTTAATCTTTTTTAATGTGTCATTATTCTTTATTAAATAATATTCAGACAAATTAAATTAATAATTATAAATCTTTTCTTTACATCAGGCACTGGTCACAAATATTTGTATTTGCTTTGTGAAGAAGTTGTATTTATTAAATATTAGCTACTGTTTGCATCTTATGAGACGCAGCCAGCTTTTGTCAATCTATTTTTATCAATAAAATACATAAAAATACATATATGTTCTAAAATATCACAAAATTTGTACAATATAGGCACCCATAACATGGTTTGCAACTTAGAAGATTATTCAATCACCTTGACAATAATTTTTGTATTTTTTAGGAAATTAATTATTCAAGTGATTGCAGCAGCAACATAGCATACATGCAAATATTGCAATGCTTTCCATCATATATTTTAATGAGATATTTTCCAACGACTAATAAATGATAAATATAGAGTAATTTTCACTTTATCTTGATTAACTTTACAGTTTCAATTTACTCTTGTTTCCCAACTTTATTACATACTAATAAGGGCTAGAAAATTAGCAAATACTGGCTTTAACTTGTGTAGTATAATCAGAACTTATGAATAGAACACATTCTTACACTTTCATTCTGACAATCGCAGCAATGCTCGATTCCAGTGTGGACATTGTGCTCTCTATACACACATTACATGAGGCAGAGAATAATAATTCAAACTGGGAATAAAAAGTTTTTTGCATTATCTCACAGCTGCACTCTCGTAATTTACACCATGTACAATACATAGTTGCTCAGTTCTATCCACAGACCAATTGGTGGAAGTATAAATACTATCTTACTTCCATCTGTCAATTGTTTAATATACAGTTGTGACTAAACAATTCATACTGCTAATAAAGTTTACAAAACGTACGGAATATACACAGTGTGAAGGCTAAATGCATCTTGTGCTCCATATCATTTTCTTTGTCAGTTTAATTTTCACAGATGATGTTGATGGATTAGTGCGTGTACTGGAAGCTGTCTGCCCCTTTGATACCTCTGACAACGTCCCATACTCAGATCGTGACATTCATACACATTAGCGACTGCACTACGCGATGATGAAAACTTTGTTGATTCAACTGAGTATGGAGCAGAGACATCAAAGGGATCCTCCAGTTATTCCATTGGATGATGACGGCCTCCACACATTCCGCACGACATTCCACACCAGTGAACAGCTCTGAGTGGGGGATAAATCCATAAACACGGAACAATTAGTGATAATAATGCTAAACCAATCCATCTTCGTCCACATCCTTCTTCCGTATTACAACTACAGAATTATATATTAATTAAATCTTAATTAAATCATATACGTATATTTTAAATTAATAGAGTAAAGTTTCCATACAAAGTTTTCTAATAAAACTTACCTACAAGGATTTTGGGTAAATTCACCTTCAGAATCGCTCATACAATGATACAGCATACACTGAGCACATGATAAACAAGATATTGTTGCTATTCCACGTCTAATAGGATCGGGAGCATCCTCGCAAGATCCTCTAGGATTGTGCTGCTCAGAATATATTTCTTGGCAATGTTTACATCGTAACTGAACATTACGTCTAAAAGTATTTTTTGAAGGTTGTGACACTATAATGTCGGGTTTTTTCAAAGAACTTCCACTACTGTGCCTGTCTAATCTATCACTTTTATGATCATCGACGATGGGATATAAATATTCATGGTTAACTGTTGTAAGATGCACATAGGAGTAATTATCAGATCCAATGTCTGCAGTTGATGTCAAAGGATGCTGAGATAGTGATACTTTGTTGGCGGATCCACCAATGTAATGAATAGGTTTATTATGCGAATCAAAAACATCTGGACATTGGGGATGGTAAATAGGTACACGAACTACTCCACGAGATGTATCCGAAGATGGACGTGGATCTAAAGGATCCACAGGTAAATTTAAGGTCTGTAAAATTAGAAAAATATCAATTGATATGATGAATTTCAAATATGTATTTTAAAGTTGTTCAATTCTTACCATAAAAACATCTTCGTCACCACCATCTGCAGGATTACAACACAATGTTGATTCCGCAAGTCCTATAATTTTAATAACAAAATAATAATAAGTTTAATTATTTACAAATTGTATAGCAAGCAATGATAGACTATATATTTTTTTGTACAGCTTACCAGTTGTACAATCCATATAAAAATGCAGCAAAATAACAAACATCAAAAAATCAATAATTAATGATATGTCACTGTTTACTTTATATTTACCATTTAAGATAACAGAATAAAATAGACTTGTATTTTAGTGAACTCTTAGATTATAATTGTTTATTATTTTTAAATATTCAGAAAGAACAAATCATTCTATTATATTAAAAATACATTTTAAACATAAAAAAGTGGCATGCTTTTTTTAGTATAATAAACATGTTTTAACATTTAATCTATAAATATATATTATTGCAAGTCTTACCTTCCAACAGTTCTTCCACTGCAGTACGTACACCTTTATCGAATGCTCTTGCATCCGCAGCCGTTCTAAAAGTTAATCCAAATTTTTTCTCTCCTGTCCGCCAATGGTGAAAAGTTGGCATTACCTTATTGTATTCAAAATCCTTTTTAATAGTACAGCTAAGAACAACCTATAAAGATAAAGAGTTAATACAAATATTTTATAATATAATGATAAAGAACTTAATACTATAATTTGCTATTAAACTGCTACATCATAATACCGATTGATCGGTGATACGTTTCCCATAGATAAGATATTCATGTTTTCTTTTTGTCGCACTAGGTGGAGAAGTACTAGATCCATGACCCTGTGCGTTGACAGTTGTACTCGAAGTTGTAGTGTTAACATTCGAAGTAGAAATACTTGTACCATTGGTATTATTAGACTGAAGTCCACTCACTGAGGTTGCTCTACGTCTCACAGAAACATTAGCTAAACCACCTCCACTAAGAGGAACCCATCCACCAGAACTGTCATCTCTCGTCATTACTTGGGCACAAACCCTTACTAAGTAGTTACCACTAAAAAACAATAACAGTAAAATCAATTGAGATCAATTTTACGTTACCATATTAATATGTAGACAGATATAGTAAGACAAAGTAACATTATACCATAAAAAGGAATATAACAAGTTGTACACAAAATTCAATTAATTTAGCATAATTGGAAATACATAAAGTGTTAAAGGGGACACAAATTATTAAAAATTTAAAAGAACGTTGTTTCAAAAAATAAATGAATAAGAAAAAGGGAGGAGGATCGTTTAAATATAAATTTATTTCATATAATAGTCGATAAAATATTCAAAATCGTCAGAAATACAACTACATAGCAGATGTTACACGCTGACATCGATTCAATGAATGAACAGTCAGCCATGCACGAACACACACCGGATGACATACCAACACGTTTGTAGAAAGGAGCATACGACATACGTTTACATGTGTAATTCGTAGGAGGAGCGACGAAAAGATAATGTGAAAGATTCCCGAAAGAGGGGGAACTTAACGGTCGTGAAAAAGTCACACAATAAGTATAAAAAAAAATGCAAGAAGGATACTATGGAAAGTGATTCAAGAAAGAAAGAAAGAGAGAGAAAAATAAATGGAGAAAAGAGAAAGAAGAGTGAATGTTTCTTTGGACGATGTGTACGAAGTGTACACCATTTAAAACATGGTGGGGACACACGGTCTCGTAAAAAGCACAGTAACGTAACGAATGTTTCGCCTTTCCGTGTGGAACCATCTTCATATGTACAGTGGTACGGTAGCATTAAAGAGAAATAGCATGTAAGAGGGAGAAAGAAAGATAGAAATACAGAAATATAAAGAGAAAAAGAGAGAGATACATTACTTACTCCTCCGACGCTTCTGTCATGATTCGAGCAGTCGAAGCCTTTACTCAATGCCCACTTTTTCCCACACTTCACCATTTTCGTAGCATTGAAAAGACATTCGGTCGCGATTCTGTTTGTGAAGCTTTTTTAGGCTAGTGCCAAGCACAGGAAGCGCCCCAGACCTCCTCCCTCTCTTAGACCCCGTAGAGTTCATCCCCACGCCTGACCTCAGACGACGAACAGTCCACGCCTGCTCCCTTTCGCATCCTCGATCGCGCATTTCATTTTAAAGCCAAATCCATCTCCAACCTGTTCTCCGACGATTGTCGTACGAGGATAAAAAATAATACACTAACATGATATATGTCCATATATATATATATATATATTATATCTATAAATAAATAAATATATATATATTATATATATAATATAAGATATATATATATATATATATATATATATATATATATATATATATATATATATATATATACGTATATATGGTAATGAATATGTATGCTATATGTATCTATATATGTATGTATTTAAAGTAGGATATGACTGATGACTGAAAACAAGGAAGCAAACAAGACGATCCTCGAACAATCCTCTTTATTCAGACGTAAACTTCCCTTCGACCGCGACGTGACACTTGCAAGGAATATGTCTACTAGTCGAATAGAGTTGAGACAAGCGACACACCGCCATACACCGCCGCCACACCACCACCATCATCACCACCACCGCCACCCGCCACCACACAGCTGCCACCACCGCGCCTCGAACACGCGCACGCACACTCCTTCGCCCACAGATGCAATTGACTATATAGTGGATATATCGACTCTTACGGTGGAAGCCACCGGTCTCTGCGCAACAGGATTCATTCATCGATGTTCGCTCGTTCTCTAGACAAGGAGGAGAGACACAGAGGGAGAGAGAAGTTGTGCTCCGTGTGATTAAAACACACACCAACGAAAGACTCTTCTCACTACTTTCGATTACCGTCTATGGCCCGATCGTTAAATCCTTCCTTATGCTTCACTTTCCTCTTCTTTTATGTCTATATTTGGTTTCATTAAAAAAAAAAAAAAAAAATGAGAAAGAAAGAAAAAAAAACAAGCATGATATTGTCGACGTAAAGTTGTTATATTTTCGTATAAGGGAAATATAAGCGATTAATTTTTCAAGGACAGTAGTTCATGTTCATTCGAACGAATACAAATATTTATTTAATAATTTAGATTATATATAAAATAATGAATTATATAACAATTGCATTAAACGAATCTTTATGAGATTTTGTATTACTTTAATTGTAATAGTATCGATATTGTATCAGATTTGTTGTATCGTCAGTGTTCATAATTTTAAATTATCGCTATACATCAAATTCAATTTTTCTTGGCTATAATCATAAATTTATTATTTTTAAACAAATGTAAAAGATTATAAGAATATATATATATATATATATATATATATATATATATATGTTTTTAATACTATGATCTATATCACATAACCGATAATGTAGATTAAGAATTAATTTTATTTCAATCTAATAAACGCGGGTAAATTGACGCCATTTGCTTTCTATTTCGTCATAGCTAAACTTTCTTTCTTCTCATTGGTGGCTTAGTAGGATGTGTATAAACTTAATTTTTGTTTTAATATTGCAGGTTTTTTTGCCACTTTTTTACAGTTTTTCTTTTGCATTGTGAAATTTGTATTTTTATTAATTAAATACAATTTCATGATTAAATTGTAATAAGTTATGAATAATTTTGTATTGATTCACTAGCAAATGAATGTTCGCCTTGATACATATGTTATCTATGATTGGATGATTTGATACTAATTTTAAAATGCATTTAACCTATCAACGTTTTAAGATATATATCTAATTATATCATATCATATCTATAAATGGGCAACTAAGTATACGAATGTATATCGTTGTTTATTGAAAATGAAACAAATTTTGTTCATACGCGCTAATTTTGATGGAATATATATTTAATAAAAAGAAATAATGTTTTTAATCAAATAATCATTATAAAATTATTATAATTTTTAAAATTTTTTAATAATATACAATTCATAAGTATTATTAATATATATTTAAGTTATTTTTTATTTTTAAAATAATATATTCCAATTCATTAAATAGATTATTCAAATTTTTATCGAATTTTATAATATATTGAAATATAAATCTCGTTTATTAATGGAAATATAAAAACATATTCGTGTTAATTTTTAATAAGTTTTATACGATATTTTATGAATCGTGCCGGCCATTGCGCGATCGGTCGTGTTTTGGTCCTAGAAAGATGGCTGACTCTTGTTTTCACGACTCTTTGTATGATATACGGTATTTTGAAATATATTACGAAAGTTAATGTACTGTGCATCGAATAATATCATTTATTTGATATTCCAATTGTGTTACATTTACAGACTGAATTATTTGCTTCTTGTATTCTTTAAGTTTACGTCAATAACGATAGCTTTTAAGCGTGTCGGTATTGCAAGCTTTAATTTTATAGTTTCTAAATGATTTTTAATATCTCATTGTTTGTGTATATAAAGAAAAAGTGAAATTGAAGAGCTTTATCTAATTGAGAAGATGAATAGTGATTTAATAGTTAATGTAATTCTTGGCATTCGATGTTGATACATTAGCAATACTATTTGGTTAGGTTGGTGTGCTAGAAAAGTAACTTATCTATGACACCTGGATGTGTCATATGTATGATGTATTGTGTTCCTTTCGGTGGTTCATATTAAAAGATGCAATGACATTAAATTTTTGAACTATCAAACGAGTTGATGATTCGTCAACAAAATGGCAACAAGTGATTTTGATGTGGAACTCTTTGAGAGAAGACTTCATACATTGAAGGATTCACAGGAGTCTATTCAAAGTCTTTCCACATGGTGTCTTGAAAGACGACAACATCATAAGAAGATTGTTGCTACTTGGCTTCAAGTTTTAAAGAAGGGTGAGTTAAATATTACACATTGAATCTTTTTAAATCATATACAAATATCAAAATTTTTAACATTATGTGTATGCATTTGTATGCTTGATATATCAAAGATATATCCACAGAACAAAATAATGAACTCCGTTTTAAGAATGTTTTCAAATTTTATTAACAAAGCAATTGATTAATAGTTAACTTTTCATATTTAAGATTTCATTAATAATTATAAATTATACTATACTATATAAATATAGTAGCTTATATGTCTTTGTATATTTGATATATTAACCCTTTCAATACAACTGTACAAAACCTTTATGCTTTTACTACATTGATAGTTATATCATGAATAAATTTCTACTGTATAAGTCAGTTATAATGCATTTTACTACTAATTGGATAAAGGATGGAATATTACAATGTAATGCGTTTTAATAGTTTCAGATTTAATAAATTATAAACCAATGTAAAATATTGATTAATGACTATAGTTAACTAGTATTATTGAAAGGGTTAAGAAATGTTACTATTTATAGAAATGTTAATCCTAAATGATTAATAATGTGATTTTTATGCGATAGTAAAAGTAGAGCATCGTCTTACGCTCTTTTACTTGGCTAATGATGTCATTCAATACTCCAAAAGAAAAAACTTTGAATTTGTGGAATCTTGGGGCACTACACTACAACGTGCTACCACAATGGTTAGAGATGAAAAAGTAAAACATCGTATATTGCGGATATTTAAGATTTGGGATCAGAGACAAGTATATGATGAGGAGTTCCTTGCTGATTTATCTGGCTTAATATCAGCTGCCCCAAAGAAAAAAGCAGAACCACAACCTGCTACAGTGCCAGAAGAATTTCAGGCTGCATTATTGATTTCGACTATGAGATCTTGTGCGACTCTAGAACAGGCAACGGATGCTAGATTACGTGATTTAAGAGATAGTAATATAGAGATAGAAAATGCAGAGGAACTTTGTGCATCATTAAAAGATCGAAGAAGTGTTGAAGATGCTGAAAAAGAAGTTGATTTGGCAGTAAGAAATGTTGAAAACTATGTTCGTGCATTGGAGGCTGAAATTGGAGAAAGAACTCAGGTTCTTGAATTACTCGATCACGCAGATCAGTTTTATGAAACTCAAAGGAGTGAAGTTAAAATAGTAACAAATGTAAATACACTTTATCAACAGAAAAATGTTCTGTTTATATTATATAAAATAAAAATACAATTCAACAGGTTTTTTAGTTAGCTATTAATTAATATTTTTACACATAGGCATATCGCAATTTTGGTAGCAGAGTGAAAAACTTAAAAAAGAAATTAGATGAATTATTACCAACATTGGTTTCTCCTATTCCATCACCTGATGTGAATGCTCCATCTCCCAGCCCTGATAGCGACATAGAACTGCCAGGTGATGAAAATCAAACTACAAATCAATCTACGATTATAGAAGTTGCACCTCCATCTATTTATGGTTCATACACTCATGATTATGATCCTGTTCCTGTTCCTGCTCCAGAGTTGACACAGGGACATGAATCTGGAGATTTTACTAATAATTTCTCCTCGTTTATAGGAGGGAATGTAGATTTTGGTAATATGGTGAGATACACAGTTTTGTGTTATGATTATAACAATTATGTCATGTATGTACAAATGACTATATATGTTATATATTTTTTTCAGAGACATTTGTTTAACGAAAGATCTACAACACCTACTATGATGACACAACAATATAATGATTCCTTAGAGGTAAGTAATAATTTATGGTTGATACATAAAATATTTATCTGTATTTAAATTTGTTTAATTCTACTAGCCAAAGCAAATAGAAGTGATTGATATGAGGCCCACCAAAAGTGAAAACAATGAAGATTTCAATATATCTAGTTTTTTGAAAACTGTCCTTCCTTCATCAGAAGGAACACAAGATCCTGGTGGTATACCTGGTTTAGGTTTAGATATTTCTGATCCTCAAGTGGAATCTCCGCAACGTCCTAATTACAGGCATTCACCAGCATTAGGACAGCTTCCAGTGACTCCTGTACTCTCACGAATGATGAGTGCTCAGGGTTCATCTCTCGGCACTTTGAATAATTGTCCAATGAACCACAGTACTCCTATTTCCGTTCGTAACCTACCTACCGAATCACATACTCCTTCTCCATACTCCAGTCAAAATAGTCAAAGTAATATCACTGTGCCATTTGATGGCTCTACTAATGCAAATGTTGTAAATCCTTTACCTCCCCCACCTCTCCCGCCACCTATTTTTCTTGATGACGAAAACTGCTACAATAAACTGCCGCCTAAATTTCCTACATGGACTCCCTCAACTGAAATTAAAGAACCAGCAAAGTGGGAAGAAAAGGGTATGAACTATTTAAAAGAAAAACAGAAATAATCCTTTTTTTATCCTGGTAATTAGAATTACTATAAAGAATACAGTATAGTCTGTTATATATCTCCAGGTAAAAATAGTATGAATCCATCTTGGCCTGGTGAAAATGATGAAAAAAATAAGACTCCATGGATAGATGGTGCTAATGACAGATGGGAGTCTAGTAATGACTCTGTTTGGCCTAACAATATAAGAGGAAAAAGTGAAATACTTTCTGAAACTCCAGAATCACCACCGATGTACGAAAAAGCTGGGTTTAATGATCCTGTAGAGTATAATGATGCGCAACCTCAAGAGCCTCTTCTTAGTAGTGCTGGAGATGTAGATCATAGGTAATGTATGAATTATTTTTATTATTTTATGAAATCATGGAAATATCTTTTATCACTGTATGTATGTAGGGTGATACCAATACCATTAACATCTGAGAACCAATTACCATACAGCTTAATAAAGGCAGCAGATGTCGATCATCGTAATTTGATAAGTCTCACAGGCAGTCCTGCAAATCATACTACCATCAATGATACGGCGTTAAATGTATTACCAAATAACAATGCTTTATGGTCTACAAGTGACCAGGATTATCGGTGAGACTTTATTATATAATTATTATATTTGTTTTTAAGAAATTTTTACGAGTCTACACATATAATATATTTTATATTTTGTTATAATTAGGCAACACATGCAACCAGGCGATATCGTGGAAAGCGTTGATATGGAAATGTCGGACGACGAAGTAGATAGTAAACCGAAAGGGAGAATATTGGTAGATGTCAGATCTCAAGATCGCGATATGAGGGTATTGAATCCAGTACAATCCGGACAGACTCAACATTTAGATATGGACATGCGTATGATTCCATTACCTTCTACCCAAATGTCAGTACCTCGAGGTCAAATATTACAAGACGTTCACGTTATTCATCCTGGACCACCTCCACCACCGCCACCACCGCAGTTTCATCAACCTCCAAATAATTTTCATCAAACTCAAGCAGATTTTCATCATAATGCGCCAGTTGACTTTCATCCAAATCAGCCAAACTTCCATCAAAATCGACCGCCACCACCGAACTTCCTTAAAAATCAGCAAGAATTTCTTCCAGGGCAACAAACTTTTCACGAGGTTCATCAACAGAATCAGCAAGATTTTGAATATCATGATAATCAGCATAACATTAGATCTAATCAAGATTTTCACGGGGAAGCGCAATTGCGAAATAGGTATCAGGCATCGGACCATCAACATCGCGATACGTCAACTTTTCATAGAAATGAAAGGAATGTCCGTGGTGGTCGGGGATTTCCAAGAAATCGACAAAATAGATATTCTGATGACCATAATCATAAGCAACGTACTCCTACAGGTATCCGAAAGTCGAGATCACAGGAACAACAGCAGCAACAACAACAACCACAACAGCAACAATCACAACAACCACAGCAGCAACAACCACAACAACCACAGCAGCAACAACAACCACAACAACAACGCTTGCCACCAGACATTATTCCAAATAGTCGTCCTCTGTTATTACAACCACCTGAAACGGTCCTTATTCTTGATGACGAAGGCAAGCCCATAGCTATGCCTGAATTCGAACAAGGTGAGCCATCAGCAAACATACAAACTATTCAGAATTCATCGCAAGAGAAAGTCTCTTCATCGCAAGAGAAAATCTGTTCGTTGTTAATCGAGGATCATAAAACGCAACAAGACGTATCGAGTTCTCGAAATTCCGAACATGGTTCTTCTGGTTATGCTGCTACATTAGATAACACATCGACAAATGATGAGTTGATCAAAGGTGATTCTGACAATAATCAGGAAAAGTCACCTCAAGAATCATCAATTTCAGAAGAAACGAAGAATCCTCGCGACGAGAAGTACACATCCGTGTCGGAATATGTAGAACACGTGAATTCAGAATCTAGTCTGACGGAGAAACGAATTGGTGATAAAAACTCCTCGTTAGAAAATCAAGCTCAGGAAGATTTTACGGACACACCACAGCTATCAGAACAGTTAGAGGTTTTGATGGAATCTAAAGTGGCACCATCGAATGATTTAAAGAGACTGCCAACAAATGGTGATTTTGACGAGAAACAGGATGATGTGATCAGCTGCAAGAGAATTATTTTATCAAACGGTCCGCAACAAGCGGCTATTGCGGATGCAGGTTCAAATGATTCCGGATCGTGTAGTACATCGACGGACATTCATCCCACTACGGGATATGAGTATGATGTGCATAGTAGCAGTCCAAACTTTCGACCTCGAGTTGCAGGACCAGCGATTTTCTCACCTTGGAGAAATGGTCCTCCTCGTAGTAGGAGTGGTTTCCGAGGTGGTCCTAGAGCTCCTTGGATGGACAGAGGTCCACGTGGACCATCCTCTGGGAATTTTGTTCCAAGAGGACCGAAAAGGGGTGGACAATTTCGGGGAGGTGGTTTTCGTAGTAGGGGGAGAAGTGGGAACTGGTTAATAGATAACAGAGAAGAATCTTATTATAGAAATCATTAAAATTTTATCAACGAGATGGAACAGCATCATACTGTCGGCACTTTTATGATATTATGTATACTTATACATATATACATACATACATAAATATATTCACATGTGTCGGTAATTATTTAATGGATTTAGTCAAAAAATTGATTATGATTTACTCTAAATTATAATTATTTGTAAAATAAATCAAAGAATAAATTTAAAAAATATTTTGAAATAATTCACTATCGTAATTATCAGCACATGTTTGCATATATGTGTAAGTATGTGTGTATGGATATCTATATGTATTGTCAATAATCACATTGGAATATATCTATTATTCCTATATCTTGCAAACAGAAGCAACAAAAGTGATATGTGCGATGATGTAGATGTCTTTTCTTAATTATAAATGTGATTAAATTTACTCATATATATATACATATAAGTAATATGTGTATATTATTGAATTTAATTACATTTACAATCTGGATATATATATATATATATAAAAACAAGAATAACGTATATATATATAAGTATGTGTGTGTATGCGGTGTGTGCGCGCGTGTCTGTCTGTTTTTATGTAGATACGTATAATTTCTACATACACCGTACATACATTTTGTTAAAATTTAGCGACATCATCGCAGGCAGCTCTTGTATAATTTGTACAGGTAGCGATTATGGCAAATATGGTTGTCACAAAATTTATTTTTTCGACTGCCGTACTTTGTTGGCCTCATGATGATGGAACATGTATATTATACAAATATTATACTATAAGGAAAATCTATGTTTTACGAATGTCTTTAAATTCTTTGAACTAAGAGATATCGCGAACGTTGACTCGTAGAAGCTACTAAATAATTTAGTAAAATGTTTAGTTACTATTTTATCCTTTATTCTCCTTTCTGTCTTATTTTTCTTTTTATATTTTTTTTTTTTGTATTGAGATGAATTTTCTATATAAAGAATTAAGTATAAACATGCAACAAATATAGTGCAATTGATTAAATTTATTTTTTATTGTTAAAATACGCTTTACGAGTCATCGTAATTTCATAATATTAACGCCTATATATATTGTGAAATGATTGCCTTTTTCTTTTTTTTTTCTTGCCTGTTCACTTTCCTTGCTGGCTCCGTCGAGATCTTATTATAAAAAAAGCAGGCGTGTTAACAAAATCTCAAGAAACAAAAAAAAAAAAAATAGACAACAAAATGAATGTATTAATAAAATCCAATGTTTATGTTGTGGTTCACTTGGTACATTTTTCCTTATATTTTCCGAAGTTTTGTCGAATAGATAAATGTGTGTTGTCGATAAATTAATTGTACGCGATGATTAAAGATGATCAAATAATAATTACAAAGCATGTTGAGAAAAAAACGTTACTTGGTGATCCATCGATGACCACAACAGTGATAAAAAAGCGTAATTCTATCGATTTAAAAAGAAAAAGAAAGAAAAAAAGAAAAGGAAATACAATTAATTTTCTCCTAATAATTATCCTAGCTCGTTACTCGCTTTTGTTCTTTTTTGAATCTATATATATATCTATATATATAATATATGTATATATATACATATATTAAATTTTATTTATCATAAAGAAATACAAATAGAAAAGTTTAAAAACGAGCAAATTCACTTGTTTGATTTGCCGAGCTCTATATTAGTTTTATGAATTTCTTTTTAAACATTTTAATTTTTTATTATTATAATAAACACTTTATTTCTAAAATATTACGATATACAAAAAATGAACAAAGAAAGAAAGAAAAGAAAAAAAAAAAGACAAGGTGTTTTTATCGTAACATATAAAACTATATGCTACGAAGTATTTGTGCCTAAGGTTCACTTATATTTTTATGTTGTTCCGTCGAACACAGACGGAAGAAAAAAAGAGAAATATATAATAGTAAGAAAAAAAAAATAAAAGAACATACAAGAATTAAAATATTAAAGATAATGATGATATAAAAACGAAATATAAATAATAATAAAAATAATAATAATAATAATAATAATATTTGACGTCCGTCCCACGGGGAAAAAATCTTTTTATTACTTTTTATGATAATCCTAGCTCGGTTTCCCGTAACGAGCACGAGCGAGTAGCATTCGGAGAGAATCGATTGGTTAAAATAAAATAACTTCCGTCATTCTCGACACAATATTTATTTATCATTAAATATACATAATTTCATTTCTTTTTCTCGTTTAAAATACAAAGAAAAAACATCATTTTTCTGATTATATCAACAAATCGTCATTTCATAAAAAAAAAAGTTTTATTTAATTTTTATTTTTATATATATGTATATATGAATATATTTATTTATTTTTTTTTTTTTTTTTTTACAAGGAAGAATCATTTCTCATTGATTAACAAAATAGATTGTAGTTCCTTTTGAATTTTATCATTTTATTATTTTACTTATTTTATTTTATTCATTTGCCATTTAATACCGTGTTTAATAATAATAATAATAATAATAATAATAATAATAATAATAATAATGAGAAGACGTTCCGGTATTGGAGTAATCTGTGATATACGTGTTAATGAATAATATTAGTGAAAAAGAAAATTAAGAAAAAAGGGAGAGGGAATGAGAAAAAGGGAGCGAAATAGATCGTGTTGTTTTCTTTTATTTTTTTTTCCTTTTCTTTCTTTCATACTTTCTCTCTCTCTCTCTCTCTCTCTACCTTTCTTTTTTTTCTTCATTTCATCGTTTCTCTTTTTCTATCCTCACCGAAAAAAAGAAAAGAAATATCCCCTTTCGAATTTAACGTGTATTCGTGAAAGCTTGGGTTGTAAAAATTTTGCAAGCACATGACATACATACAGGCATGCACACACGTGTTTATGTGTATATAGATATACATATATACATATATATATATATATATATATATATATATATATATATATCGTTATCATGAGTGATTGGTTACATTATGTAACGTAAAGAGTGGTTGCGTTTCGCTAACAAATGCGTTTGTTTCAGGTTCGACAAATTGTAAATTATAAAATTAATTATGTATATGATAAGAACTTTAATGTACAGTATGCGTACATTTCTACATAGGTAATATATATTATATATATAATAATAATAATAACAATAATTATAATAATAATAATAAAATATTATATGGCAGTGCGACATACGAACATGAATACACACACACACACGTATGTATATTATACATGTAACTATATTCAAAATACATATGTATATATGCGCGCGTGCGCGTTAAAAGAAAACTTACATTAGAACTGAGTATATAAACACGTACATATACAAACGCATACTCGTAGAAAGAGAAACACTGATACATATACTCACGTATATAAGGGAAACGTGTTAAGATTAATTTTAGATATATTATGCAGAAGCGTACTATACATGCATACCATGAGTTCTTTTATCGTGCGCTACTAAGCGCGATAATACGAAGCAGCTTCTCGCTTGTTAATGTAAATCGATATTTCTCTTTTCCTTGTACATATACATACAAAAGTCATTTTTCTCCTATTCTTGTCCCTTATTCTTCTTTTTTTTCCTTCTTCATCTTCCTTTTCTCTTTCTCTCTCTCTATCTCTCTCTCTCTCTCTCTCTCTCTTCCATTCCCATTAACAGGTTGTCTGATTTCGTTAATCTCTGGTGGGTTGTGTTGTTGTTTGTATTTACGTAATAATACGTAAATACAAGCGTAAGAAAAGAAATGATTCTTATCGATAAAATTGAAAGTGATTTTGTGTCGTTGCAAAAATGACGTGCGTCTTAATAGACTGCGACGTGTGCATATGACACGGTCATTGTCATTCTGTAAATTGCTCGTAAAAGTAAATGAAAAAAAGGTTGAAGGGAAGAAATATAATACATTTTAAATTTATAATAATAATAATAATAATAATAATAATAATAATAATAATAAAAACGAAAGGTCATAGCAAGAAAATCGTGTTATTTCCATTTTCGTAAATTTTGTTCTTTTAAAAATCTTTAGATTATTTACATTTTTTAATTATTTAGGATAAATGGTAGAGTTATCGATCATTTTTTTAAAAGCACTTTATATATAATACAAAAATATATAAAGTTTTATTTAAAAATAAGAGAATATATATAAGTTTTTGTTATTTAACGTATACCAATGTAAGTTAGATTTATTTGACATTCGATCTCAACTCGGATTTTTTTATTTTATTATAATACCTATAACAAATCTGATACTAAGTTAAATAGATTTTGTGGAACGTTGGAAAATATATACGCCTATATCTTTGCGTTATAAAATAAAAAGACTGTAAAACCTATGTTCTACCCTGAATAATAACTCTACCGTTTACCTCAAACAAGAAGAAAAAATAAAAAATAAGATTAATAGATAAAACTGAAAAACTTTAGTTAGAACATTATTTACGCATAATAAAAGAACAAATAAACAAAAAAAAAAATAAAGCGAAATGATTGAATATGATAATAAAATAAAATGATATGCTTCATATTAACGAGGTCGTTGTTTCTTCTGTAATAATTCCGTAGTCCGATAATTATAATTATTATTATCATCATTATCATCATTATTATTATTGCTAATCATATATACAATCTTATAATGATTTTACTCTTGCTTTCTTAGAAGGCATGGTAAAACATTCTCATGATATTTTATGCGAAATAACACGCTCCATTAATTACTTAATCGCGAAAGCGACTACGCCATTTTAATAATAAGAAAGCAAGTGATCTCTTCTTAACAAGAACCTTTCAAAGAAAAATTTATCTCAAAGAAAATTAAACTGTATCCCTTTTTATAATAACCGACCATTCGTATATAGATAGACAGACTTATTGTTAGAAGAATTTTTTTCTCTTTTTTTTTTATATCTATATCTATATCTATATCTATATCTATATCTATATATACATCTCCTCTTAATTTTTACGAGCATTTTACAACATTCTTGACACAATATTTACTATCTCGTTTGATTTTAATTCACTAGTTGTAACAACAAATATTCTTTGATCTTTTTTCTTTATTTAACCATAAGAAAAAGTAACCGAGATTATTATTATTTTTCCCGAACCTTAAGATCGATGGAATTAGAGGAAATTGAAGGTGAGAGATAGAGAGTATCGAATTAAGGGAATAAATGGACAGTAATGAAGAAAAAAGAGAAAGAGAGAGAAAGTTAATGGATTCGAATGTTATGGGAAAATATTTTCTTCCACGTTAGTAACAGTATCACTAAGTGATCGGTTAAATGAGATCTCGAGATTAGAGTAGATTCGATTATTTAGCGAGAAATACGCTCGATAATACGTTAGACGAGAGTTAATGTATTTGTAAGATCATTTTATTGTGATTTAACGTTACAAGATTTTATACGAAATCGTATAAAACGATCGTGCATACTGTGTATGCTGAACATTTTGTACATTGCCTAATAAAAAGGATATATCATCTTTTATATTATAATTGCTTATTTTTATTAATTTGTATAGATAAAAATATCCTAATAGAAATGAATGAGATTGTATCGTTAATAATATAATATGTTTATATAATAATGTAATTATAATAATAATGTGATACTTTTGTAATTAATATATTCAAATTAATACATTTATTTTTTTTTTCTGTAAAAAGTAATCCCTTCGGAAAGTAACAGGTAATCTCTATGAATATGTATTATATTTATATATGCTGAAATGAATTATGACAATATTTTTTATCCTTATATATATTCATATAATGTTATTATAGTAATATAATATTTTTATAATTAATATATTCAAAGTAATATATTTATTTTTTTATCTTTAACAGGTAATCTCTTTATGGGACGTGACACGCAATTATACACATGAAATATATGAAATTACCCACACGTGTGTATGGTCCAGCTTAAAAAGGGTGTCGGCGTCTAACTGGCGACACGCGAGCTTCCATATGTTTATATATATACTTATACACATATGTACGTATACATACATATATAATTATATGTAGAATATATACATAAAATAGAGGTAAAAGCGTTATGTTTTACTACTAGTCGATAATACTTGTATTCACTTTTACCTGATTAACCTAAGTTCAATGAATATTTCAAGCGTCTTTGAATAAACGCTATGGCCTATTTCACGGTTCAAAATGAATGGCCGACTATAGTTTTTCATTTTTTGTAACACACTTAATCCTTTTAATTTTAAACATTCGGTAGAAATCTTCTTAACGGTATATATATTTACTTGTAATACAATATTTAAGACATAATACAATTGTTTTTATATAATTGAAATATTTTATTTTCTTTCAAATTTTCAAAGAAACATTTTTAAATTTGCAAGATATATTTACGAAAAATAAAAATATATTTTTTTTTTGTACGATTATCAACGTAATGTTTAATTTATTAATAAGACGAAAATTATTAAACAATTGATCGAGATTGATTTGACTTTTTTACTGTATATTATAAAAGTAAAAGAATCGCATCCATGATATAAATTTATTTATTATCATTTTAATAATAATTACTTTTTGTTGATTATTGAGGTAGTATAATTAAAAGTATGTTTAATTACTTTAAAAATCAATATAAATATATATAATTGTTTTATTGCAGATGGCAGCACATATTACCAACAATTATTCATTCATCTTTAATTTATAGTTTTTAAATATGATTTCTAATATAGATTTCAACGTGGGTACCCTCCTATCGTAAGGAACGAAGTTTTGCTGATGATCCGAGGGTAAAGGTCATCAAGCGACTTTTTCAAATAAGTTTTCTTTTCTTCTCTCTTTTGGTTCGTTCGAGTGGTCAAACCCAGTTTATGATAGAAGCAACGTAGAAATTCTATTGTAAGAAGAATGACATAATACCATAGAAGGTCCTTTGAAGACATCTTTACGGTACGCATTCATGCACATTAATGTGCGCGTCCGTTAACTTTCCAATAAGATGTTACGATAATAGCTATATATTAATGTACACAAATATACATACACATATACATAAACAGTATTATAAATACTGAACTATCTCAAGTGTTTGCTATTTCAGTCTTCTTGTACTTATCACTTTGCACGTAAGGAAATTAAACTATTTTCATAAATAACTGAATAAAATCATATGAATAGGTAAAAGAAGAATTGTTAGTCATCGTTCGACCTATCAGCTCGATTGTGTCTTCGAGGTCAAGCGACTTTTTATCGAATTTCCCGAAGGACGAGGATGCCTTGTGTGTGGGCTCATGAAAATTCAGACATTGTCGAGACGATGTCCAAAGTCATTGAGAAAAAAGTTTCGTATGCATGAAATCTTACTCCACTGTTGTTTATTTTTCGACATATGTAAAGAAGAATCACAAAAATTAACAAAATCAATTTCCTGTTGCGATTTCATGTATACTTAATCCTCTTCGCTCATTAGAAACGATTATGTAGTAGTAAAGAAATAGTAGTAGTAGTAATAGTAAGACTACTGAAGTTCATCAGTAGTAGTAGTAGTAGTAATAGTAGTAGTAGTAGTAGTAGGAAGTTTAGTAACGAGAGACGGTAGGAGATGCATACTGTGTGTATATATGTATGTGTATGTATGTAGAAGTAATGTTTGCACGTCGATGCTTTCATTCGCCGTCGTTCGGTCGATAGAGCCTTCTCTCTCTCTCTCTCTTGCTGGGGTCCACTCGACAGTGTTCGTTCTTTCTCGGATTGTTTCGGTACGTAAGAGCACTGTGCCTTGGAGTGGGGGAACCGATTGCGAGAGGGTGGTGGTTGCGTGGTTCACCACTTTGCAATCAGTCGTCTTTCGAACGTCGGAGAGATAAGATATTAATCGAAGTTTTTTTGCGCGCGGATCTCGCGTTTTTCTCTCTCCCTTTTTTCACTTTGCACACCCTTCCTTATTACTTTTTTTTTTTTAATCTTTATTATATGTAATATCTCTGTTTTTCCTCGTTAATTTTTTATTATTTGTTCCTTTTACCATCTTCCGCTTGGACTTTACCTAACTTATTTTTCTCTTTCTTTCCCTTTTTTTCTCTATCTCTTTCTCTCTTTTCTTCTTTTTTCCCTTCATCTTTAAGCTGGACACATTGAAAGGGGTACACATTGCGGATTACAAAAAGCGTGTAAAAAAGCTCGATGACGTTGTCACGCGATTTGGTCGGTCCTTGAACATCGATTGTCCCCACAATCGGAAAAAGTGCATACGGTAGAAGAGTGCAAGGAAAAGTGCATCGAGGGAAAGATTGAGGGCTAAAGCTAATTACGAGGGTACATAAATCTGCGAAGAAAACGACATATTTTTAGTCAAGTTCAACGATACTTATTCTTTCCTTGTTTCTATTTTTATTTATATATATATATTTTTTAATTGATAGAATAGGGGCGGGTAGCATGTATATTGGATTCTATAGGTAAAATTTGAGCTTTGCTTTTTCATCTCCAAAATTCGTTACAACGAAAATGATCTTTCGTTTGAAATAACCAACAACAATTTTTCTTTACATTGTAATACTCGGTAATCTTGAGAAAAATCTCATTCGTCGTTCAACGTGGGTCCAAGATAATGGCTGTTTAAAATATTTGGAAAAATGCCATGAAAAAGCGACTCACTCTGCGTCTAGACTTACCCCATTCAACAAGCATTAATACTAAACCTACCACGCGTGGTCAAATGATCGTGTTCTATAATTTAAAAAAAAAAATGCATACATAATGTATTATAAATTATTTTTTTTATAAATAAAAGAACATAATATATTGTACAGTATACAATTAATTAAAATCTCATTTTTTATTAAAATAATATGTATTTTTTAAAGTAATCATTTGACCATTCATAGTAGGAATAGGCATACATGAAATGTTGGTAGGTTTAGTTCTTATTGCACCAAGAATCACGTTTCTTGATATCAAGTACCTTATATTTTTCCAATTGAAAATAATATTATAATATTTCGAATGTCGAATGAATGTCATTTATCAAGAAAATATTATAATCTATTTTTAAAATTAAATTTTTTGTTTTTTACATTAGTTGCAGGCCAAAGGTCAATGATAAGTGACCGTAAAAAAATATATGGTACGATAAACTAAGCAAAACGTTTCTTTCTTTCATCGTATTTCATGTTGACAATTTATCCGGAATAATATGTATATTGACCGAATGAATTATCGAATTTTTCGATATAGTATGTATAAGTTCGTGAGATAAAAAATGTAGCTCTCACTGATGAGAGAATCGTGATGTGATTAGGAGAATCGTTTACGTTGATCGATAGGGTGGATACGTTACAGATTTAACTGATGGGGTTAATTTTATTCCTCCCTGAATCATTACATAAACAAACCACAATATTTCTCATATTCCTGTTGACATTTGATCGTGCTTAATTAAAAACTAGGTTCATTATGTAAAAAGAAAAACTAGAATGATGCAGTATATATACAATGTACTGTTACATATATATATATATATGTCTATACATTTGTTTGCATTTCAGTAATTAAAATGAAAACTTTTGCTTCAGAAAATCGAGCTCGCAGAGGGTAGATTATAGAATGGATGCGGGCGTCATGTTATCCTAGTATTGATATCAACTAGGTCGTACGTTTGTTTCTGTATTTAGCTTGATTGTTACCTTGTTTCATTCTTCTTGCCAAAATATAGCAACAGATGTCTATTTCGAATAACAAATGGGATGATTTTATTATATAATTGCAATTTATTTGTTCGATTTGATTTATCGAAGATTATTTTTTTTTTTTTTGACGTATTCATTTATAGTAAATATATTTTTCACTTGACTCTTTCATATTTTTTTCTTGGAAATTTTCTTGGAAACGATTACAATCTTTAGAATAATAAATGTTACAGAGTCGATAATAATTATGTATGTATATATGTATATATATGTTTGTAAAAGCATAAAATAGCAACATTGAAAGTCAATAAGAGAGGCGTGACTTACAAGATATTCTCTTTTTTTATTTGGGATGTTATTTTATTCTAGGCTTTTATTTTTTGTTAAGTGATCGATAAAACGATTGACGTATTTAATTTGCGAACAGAACAATGGCAAAGTTCCCTTGGCGTGTCCATTGTGTGGCTGAACAAATTACTCGGTAGGATGGTAATTAATTAATTGAAAATTGCAAATAGTATGGTAATTTTAATTATTCTATCGAAAATTTTCATAGGATTAAATATAAATTACATTTAAAATAATAAACGTTTGGGATCAATGATATACGATGTGAAAATTCATCGATTTTTTGTTTGATATATTTGTTCTAACTCTCGCAGGAATATTCGTTATATCTGTAAAAAATACTTTATTTTATCGTATAAATATTACACGTAATTATCTATTAGAATTGACTATCATGATTGCAATAGATCATTTTTAAGTAGGTGTATAATTCATTAATTAGTAAGAACATTTGATTTTTAGCGCATGAAATAAGTTTAAATATATACAGTTAGTTAATGAATTAAATTCGACATATTTCACCGTTATAAAATTTTATTAATTTGATGATATTTACATTACAAAAACATCTGGTTTTTTTAAACATATTTTTAAACAATAATTTAAATTTTAAATATATAATTTAATATATAATTTATATTTTAATAAATAAATATATAAATATATAATTTATTTTTTTAATTAAATTAATTTAATATTAATTTTTTAAATATATATAATTTAAATTTTAAATTATAATTTAAAATATTTATCTATATTAAAAATATATTTATTGTAATTTGATTTATTATTGAAATTATTAAAATAGCTTAATTTTTTTCGTAACATTGTAAGAACCTTAGGAACCTTGTCAGTAACATATTAATTAAAATTCAATAAAAGACTGTTGTTACAATTTTCATAACAGTTTATATTAAAAAAGAAAAAATATTTAGCATAAAATTGTCTATATCTAAATTTAGATTTAATTTCATGGAAAGATCTTCAGCGCAAGTAGGTAATAGATTTAACACACAAAGGTTAAAGAGACTGATCTTTTAAATAGTTTCACTTGTTAGTGCAAATTGTTCATTAAATAACTAAAATACGCGTGGATGTTAAAAAATAGATGACACGAATGTAATGAAAACGATGTGAATTAAATAGAAACATAAATAATAACTCGTGAAAAGCCATTTATGGCTTCCTTCGTGTGATTTTATTCTTTTACATAGAACCTTTTAGAAACGAGTACGGTAACGAACACAGGAGAGAAAAAGGAAGAGATAACGAGTTTTATTGAAAGGATATATAATCGACTTAACAAAGAGCACAGGGTTCAGAACAAAGTTGATATTTCTGTAACTTGTTCTATGAAAAAACCGTGATTATTCGTTTGTGACGTCAAACATTCATCAAATCCATCCAATTTCAACTTAATCGCAGTAATTTCGATCAAGCTTTATTGTTAAAAACTTTAAATCATTTTAGGTTAAGTATAAGTAGTCACGTATACATTTAAATAGAATTACTGAATGTGATAATAATATGAAATGATTATTTTAGAAAAAAATAATATTGTGAAATAGTAGAATAGGATTTGTTTTTATATTTTAGATTTTATTTTCGTGTGATAATTGATTTTTGAATATTAATGAATCGTTTTTATTTGTTCGTAATTCATTTAGAGAGATATTTTAAACACCAATGAATAATTAATATACAGATACTTAGTTTCGTATAAAATTTCTCTCTTTTTTGTAACATAAAACATTTACTTCTGAGAATTCTTTAGATTCGTATTCTTCTTAGTTAATAAGTAAGTACTTCTTCAAATAGTTTACTTACCTTTAACATGCAGGAACTGTAGTCTTTTAATTAGTTAATTTCATACCATTTATATAAACTTTCATGTGTGTATTTCAATCTCCAAATTTAGATTAGAGATAGATTTTTTTTTCTTTTGGAAATACTGAAATCATAATGTGTCAGAAATTTCCACCTATACCGCAAAACATGATACAGCATGTTACTGCAACATGTGTTATAATAACCTCAGGAATAACACCGACGTGTACAATTTACTAATTTGACAGTTTGAAGATAATAATGATGCATCAAAATAAACGATCAACTTGTCAAATATATGTTTTACAATTTAATGTTTCAATATATTTAACTTTTACATTAAAATCGATAACAGACAAAAGTCATTTTGTTTAATAACATTTTTTATTATTTATTAATATAACATAGAGATGTAGTCATATTATCTTCAAATTAAAAATTCGAACATTTTTATCTAGTTATGAAAACAATAAAGTGTTCTACTTTACGACATATAGTTTATAATACAGGCATTTGTAATAAACTACGAGCATTTTCATAATTTTTCATCTCTTTTTTTCTCTCTATCTTTATTTTACTCTTGTTAGCAGATTTTGTCGATTTTATATCGCGTGGAAACTCGTCAGAAAGTGGGCCATCGTATTCCGTACGAAAATTACAGCTCTGAATGTATCAACTAGAACTGTTAAAGATACGGGAATTAAGGAAACGAAAAGCCTTATAATTCGACTAATTAAAGAGCGTTAATATTTGAATTACCTTTTATGATTTACATAGATATAAAGAGTAAATGTGTGATTCATTGAAAATTGTTCTTCTTATGATTATTACCAAAATTTATAAATCTTTGATTTTAGTTTTTTCTTACTTTGAATAATTTTCGTTGAAATGAAAATACATTAATTGTTATACACTTTACGTAAACTTTATTTTGAATTTTTTTTTTAAATAAATAAAATAATTATACATTTTTTATAGTGATTTTTGTTCTCATCATTTTCAGATTTGTTTGTTTATCTATTTTTAATCAGGAAAAGAGGAACATTGGGAAGAATATGAATATTGTAAATCTAACAAAGAATGATATCCATTACATGAATAGATTTTAATTATTCGATAGGGTTATATACGAGAGATGAAAAAGAAAAGCATCGTTTTCGATTAATTCAACGCGTATCAGAAAATTCACGCAACAAGTCCTACGTTAATGAATTTTTACTGTAGCTTCTTTAATTTGTCGCACCGTTGGCGACCGATCGTGGGATTTGAAAAGACAGTTTTAATAAAAATAATACACAACAAATATGTTTTCCAATGGAATACATTATGTAATAATGCATATATATGTTAAAAGTTTGGAATATCAAAACTAAGCTAACCAAACGGTGTACAAGTGCATTCAATTAAATTGAATTTTAAAAATGATTAAACTTTCTTTTTCAAAATTTAACAGAAAGTTGTAAATTTATATTAAAACAGTTATAAATCCTTCAAACTATGTTAATTATTTATAAAATGAAAAATTTTAATATGTATAAATTCTATTTAATATTTAATTAATTTAGTTGTCACCAATTGCATACGAGTATAAATTAACATCATAAAATAACAAAAATAAAAGTTTTCTCATAGTTAAATCATTAATTAACTTCTATTTATTTGGTTAGTATTTTTATTAATTGATGGTAAGTAAATTGTAAATTAAATGATTAGTGTAATAAATTAAGTGTTAGTATGAAATAACATATCGTTAAAATTGCTTTAAAATTATTTTTCTTTACTTATGATTTGTTTGTTATACTAATATTTTATTATAAATATTAACAAATATTTTGATTAAAACATTTAAGGTTTTTGCATTAATTAATGTAATACACTTGCTTTATTTTAAATATTGATGAAAAGAAGCTGTAAAAATTCTAACCCAATAAATATACATACCTACCTTATTATTTAAATTGAAAATAAAATACTGTAAATAACGAATACCATTTTGATACGTATAGAAAAACAATTGTAAATGAAGAATAATTAAATATATTAGAAATGATTTAGTAGGAAAACGTGTTTTTGAGTAGGTGTGATCGTTACGCGATCTAAGCGTTCCAAAAATAGTAGCCCTTTGTTTATATTCCATTCGGGTGCAGCTTTAACTAAAAATGAAGAAAAAGAACGTTAGGCGAAGGAAGAGAAGGAGGTACGAAGGGTTGGGATTGGTGGCTTATCGACGAAGCGTTAAATTCTGCAGAATCGATGATGCTCTCGGGGGCGCGTCGACATCTTGGATCAACGTTAAATTCTTCCTAACGTGAGCTCGCGGCAACGATTGATGATCCTTAGGCAGATTATTGATATTACGGTGACGCAACATGTTATCGGAATCTGCAGTTCAAAAATTGCATTTCAAGAAGAGGCTGAAAATCACCTATTTACCTGATATATCGAAGATTAATGCTCGCTCGCGGATGATAAAATGAGCAAGAGCGTGGAATTGCTTGCTGAATCGGAGGACAGTGAACAAATACCAGTCGGTGAGTAAGTAATTAATCGTTCGATCTTACGATCAAACGTTCGTTTACTTGTTTTTCTTTCTTCTTTTTTTTTTTTTAAGTGGGCATTTTGGTCAAATCTTTTCGATAAATTATCGATGCTATTTTTTGTGATATAACTTATGACATTTATTTATCTATTTTTTAAATTAAAATTTTTTTTTTTAAATTCTACACAATTATAAGGATCCATCAATGTAAGCAATACTTAATTGTTTCAAGAAAAACAAAAGGAAAAGTTTTATATGCATTTTTATATATCAATTCGTTTCGAATGGAAAAATATATTTTTTACAATTTAATTTAATATAGTATATTCAATACATAATTAATACAAATTATTTTCTTTTTTACTTCAGACCATACACGCAAATCATACGGAGAGTAAGAATATATTTGAATTTTATTTTTAAACTTGTCAAACTGAGATAATCACTTAAACTAGACACGAGGAACGTTTTAGAGACGTCACGTTGAAGGCACTTTTTTTTTGTTGTAAAAAATTGTTTTTTTTTTCTGTCAGTTAAAAGTGTAATAATAAGGTATAAAAATAATTCCAAACTATAGCTTATGGTTTTCATTAAAAAAAAAAAAAAAAAAACAAATGACCAGAATGACCCCTTAATGTAATACATTCGAAACAAGTAAATATATATATATTAAATATTTTTCAATAAATTATTTCATTAATGGGAGTTTCAATTATTTTTTTTAACGTTTCATTATTGGTAATATATAAACATGATTGACTTTAATTATTGTAAGGTTTATAAAATTTAGAAATTTTTCAAAATAAACGACTTAGAAAATATCCAGGCTATAATAAACTCGTGAATCATCAGTTCAATAACAGTGGAAAATTTGAACCAAATAACAATTTACATTGAGTTATGTGCAATACATCAACATGATCAAGAATATATTGAAGCAGGCTATATAGTTTGATAGATTAAATCAGTTAGTGATCGAACCTTGATCATTCTCACGAATCATACTAATTCTTGGCGTATAGGTGTTATGCTTGAGACGGAAAAATATATTTTGGCGAAAAGCCAACTATTATCGTACGATTTCAATATAGGATGCATCAATGCATTTCTTCCTTGTTATTAGAAAACATGAGAGATCGTTTGATGACATATTTTAATAATATTATAAAAATTTTATTTATTTACAAAAAAAATATATAGTAAATATTATATAAAATTATTAATATTATTATAATTAAAAAATTAAATATTTATATATATAATTAATATAATGTAAAAATATAATAAAATTTGTATATTTGATAAATACAGTTTTGATTCATACATAAGACTCGTTGTAATAATATACAACTTTATACCAAACGTAATATATATATATATATATATATATATATATAGAAGTAATGCATTAAATAAATATAGTTTATCTCAATTATATACACAACTCAATGTAACAGTATACAAATTTATACAACACGATACCACTCTGCTACACAAGTAACCAACTTTTATCCTTTTTAACTTTTTAAAATCCTTTATATGCATATTCCTATGTTTATATTAATGTTAATATTTTCACCGAATCCCACTAAACACACATTTATATTATATTATACCACTCGTGCCTTGACTTACTTATACATAACAAATTTTATTACTTATTTCATACAACGAGTTAAAAAGTCATATTTTTTAAATGATTCATTTATTTAACAATTTTATTACTTAATACATAAAATGATCTTAAAAAGAATATCTTCAAATAGACGATTTACATTATACGTTATCTTTAATATTTTCTATTTTAAATTTAAATTCATCTTTTATCTTCTAACTTGGTCATTACGATTCAGGCAAACAAAATATTCCAGTCGATATTTTGTGACTATTTCAAAGAAGGTTAATTCCTAAAATGGAACACGAGAAGGTCCCTTGCACAATTGTGTCAGTTTTTGACGACGTGCTTACGAATTTACGCTTCACGTTGAAGTTTTATTTCTGAACTTGGTACTGCTCACAGAATCGTATACATATATATACATATATATGTATATATAGATTCTCGTTTTTATTTTCATTGGATCAGCATGTACTACAGTATTGAACGGCAATGCGATATTAGAGGCACTTTATCTTACATGATCTTGAAAGGAAGGTCAAAGGTAGCAGTTCTAAGATTAAGCTAAGATTAAGAGCAAAAGGTAGTAGTAGTTGAAATAATTTTTATTCTCTTTGTGTTTTTTTTTTATCTTACTGATCCTTTATGAAAAAGAGTTATTTAATTTTTCGATAGAACGAATGTGTGTCTGTGTAAATTCTCGTTTCTTTTCATTTCTATGTAAGCTAGTTAGCCCATCACTTTTTTCTTATTCTTTCTTTCATCATTTTTCAATTTGATCTAGAACCAGACACGAGATATCTTTTTTTAGCCTTTGTTACATCACATTACTTTGAAAATTACATATTTAAGTATACGTGTATATGTTGTATATTTTAAATTTGTAATATTTTCAAATTATATTATATTTTAATATTTTTTACGCTAAAAAGCTTAGTAGCATTTTATTTTTATATAAAATATCATTTATTTCATAAAAAAAGCATTAGATTTATAAAATATTAACCTATAAAATTATATCTTATAAAATAAATCCTTTGTTTTCCTGGAAAAATCCTAATCCGGCCTTATTCCTCCATTTTCTATTTTAGAAAAATATTTGATTAACAAATTACAAATAATATAGTTGATAATACTGATATATCAACGTCCTATATAGAATATATAAAAAATATTGTATTTCATTGTAACTTTAAAGTAAGAAATCATTTTGTTTGTTTATATAAAATATTTAAAAAAAAAAAAGAAAAATTGTAAATTAATAATAGTTAATATTCGAAAATTAATATTTATTAATTTTCATCTTAAATAATCCTTTTTATATTAGATAGAACAAAGTAATTTAAGTTATAGAGAAGTTAACTCCTTATTTCACAGAAATTCTTTTACGTGGACAGAGCTGTTCGAAAATAGTTTAAGGCAAGTCGTTCGACTCCTTGTTCTCGATTTTTCACTGCTAGCTTTTTGCTGCTGTCTTTTTTTTCCCCCGTTGCTAGAATCAAACGCGTTTATTTATTTAGCTGTTAGAGGTTGGTACGACGATTCGATCGTGCCTGTTGTAAAATGTTTCGTATTCCCGAAAGCAGAAAAAGAAAAAAAAACTTGCATTATTCTGAGCTTCATTACATTAACTCGACGTATTTTTTTTTTTTTGTAATTCGGCAAAACGTGTTTTACTTTCATTTATCGCGAATTATCGAGCTTGTTAAAGCGATGAAAAATTCTACTGGGGGAATCCTTTGAAAAAGCTCTCCTCATTTCCGATATTACGTCTTCCGTGTTGCCAGTTGATGGCATGCAAGATTAATGAGGCACTTTTATTTTTTCACGTACAAATATCTACATGAGAATGGTGATTTGTAGAATATGTTAAAGTTGATCTAATCTGTGTTAAAAGATAACATTTTAATTTAATAGGCACGACGAAGTCCTTCGTAATTTCGTGTTATCGTGTCGTGTTATATAAATAAAGAAAAAGGAAAGGAAGAAGAATATAATCAAGTATATGACATTCGAGTTGGCAGGAATTAGAAGAAAATGTAATACACGTGGGGTGTTTAGGTAGCATGTTTTTTTTAATTACTAAATGATGTTTCTGTTTTATCAAAAATTCAAAATGGCAATGTTAATAAAATAAAAATTCATTTTTTTTTCATTGAACATCATTTCCAAAGTGACGCTCTGCATACACGTATTTACAATTAGTTAATTAAAAAAAAAAAAAGAATCAACTAACGGTTACAATTTATATTATGATATATATATATCTACATATTAATAACATTATTAATTTGCATTTTTTTTTATAGATAGAACTAAAAAATAAATATTATAGATTAAATTACATAAACTAGTTTTGTAGTCTTCTATTTCGATATATCAATAAAAATGAATACAATTTTTTTATAATTGATTTGATTTTATTTTTCTAGTAGTTTTAAAAGGCAAAAAGTAAATCTGGCTGTTTTATAGAATTAGAATTCTAGTGAAAAGGCTTAACTTTTTCACAATAGGCACGACCGACGTAGTTCACATTAATGGCTGATAATTTTTGAATTATGAATTTACAAAATGGTATTAAAAATATCATCATTTTGAAATCAGATATTGGTTCGAATTGAAACTATTCATGGATTATTATGGAATGTATAATAACTCAATTTTTAATATAAAATTCAAGAATAATCCCCGTTCAACTATTTATACTGTAGAACTGATATATGTGCTTGCTTACGCGCATGTGCACATACACACACACACACATATATATCCATACGTATAAATATGCATGCGTCGAAATCCATTGCATATAGATGTAGTAAACTTAAAGATAGATAGAGATATTTTTGTTAAATATACACCAATTAAAATAATGTTTCGTTGACCCTTGTTGACTGGTTTTCACATAAAATAAAAACCAATTCATTGTTATGTCTGACATTAGATTAGATTTTCCCCGTAGAGTTAGAATTATTTCCTATTGTATGTTCCATTTTTATAACAATTTCCAAATTAATACAAATAATCGTTATTTAGTAACCAGAACTCTGCTTTGTACATCATATTTGCGCAAGTAATTTGATTTTTGATATAAATTGTCCGGTCACAATCAATTCAATCGTTTAGATGCTAGACTGAACACAAAGTTAATACAGATAAACACATACACATATACAAACATACACATTTAAATATAATAAACGTGAAAAAAAAAAACAAACAGAATTTTGATTTTAACATGAAACACCAGGAACTCCCTGCGATCGTGGCTAAAAAAAATGAAAAGAAAAAGAAAAGTAAAAGAAACAAAAAGGGGAAAACTAAAGAGAAAAATATGCTTGTGGATCGCATGTTCAGATAACACTACAGAAGAAAGATCGAGACTGAATTTGAACGGGAGCAGACAGCTCTCGAAAAGCGCCACGGAGCTCCGGGACAACGATATCGAGAAACTCTCGCCGTCGCGGCGTGGGGAGGTCGGTGGTGAATCCGGGGTTATACACCACCACCGGCATCATCGTCACGCAACGTCGGTAGCACAGCGCACTCATACCTTCTTTGCAACATTGAAGAGCCGTTGGGCTCGTAGCCGTAGCAAAGAAAGAAAAAAATCCAAGGATGGTGGTGGTGGTGGTGTCCCACCGACCCAAGAGGCAACAACAACCTACAAAACACCTGGAATCGAATCTGATTATGCGGCTGATTATTCCTCTGAACATAGCAGAAGTTCATCTGCCACACAGAGTCCTGCCAGACATTGTCTCAAACATCCAGGTATTATTTTCAAATATAAAAACATATTATTAGGTAGTTCGGAAAGTTGTTTCGTTTTTCTTTTGTAAAAATGAAGACAATTTTTGCTTCGAGGTTAAACCTAAACCTTTCAAGTGGTCATAAAGACTTTCCGAACCACCTAATATTTAACATTACTACAAATGGATTATCTATTAATGAAACAACTTCAGAATCACCATTGACACGATCAGGAAGAGACAAAATTTTAACCATGCAAGAGGACAGTCCTGGCAAATGCAGCGACGCGTCTTCAAAGGGATCCTTGAATCGTCAAAGTTTCAAGGACATTCATACGAGCGTGGATGCACGTGCTTCATCCATGTCGAATCAGGATGGTGCATATGTTCAAGACGAAGTTTCAAGGAGGAGAGAGTTAGCGTTGAGACAACACGCTTTCTTTCAACTTCGTCTTCATATCAGGAGGGGTGCCAATCTGTTAGCCATGGACAGATGTGGTAAAGGACTCATTTCGAAGGATTATTATGTTTTTCGGCTTAACTAAAGGAATCTGATATAAAATGATATCATCGTAGGTGCTAGCGATCCGTATGTGAAAATCAAGTCTTCTGGAAGGTTATTGCATAAATCGCGAACGGTTCATCGGGATTTAAATCCAGTTTGGGATGAAAGTGTCACTCTGCCAATAGAAGATCCTTTTCAACCACTTACTATCAAGGTAGGTATAAATATCCATCAATATTCATTCTTCTTATATTCGTCAATTAATTCGTTTATTAAAATTAGTTCGTTTGTCTATCATCTTATTCACAATCAATATCAAATATTACATATTTGATTGAACAGAGCAGTTAGAAAATCAGAGTATCGATCGTTTGATCTGCCTCTCTTGCTATTTTTTTTCGACTAGCAAACGACCTTCGACGTTTCGACAGGTCTTCGATTACGATTGGGGTCTCCAGGATGACTTTATGGGAGCTGCTCAATTGGACTTGACGCAGTTTGATCTTGGTTATCCACAAGATGTAACCTTAGAATTAAAAGATCCAGCCAGGCCGAAGCAACACTTGGGTGAAGTCTACCTCACTGGTACACTCTGGCCGAGAAATCAACAGGAAAAGGAACAGGTATTTCATTTATCAAATTTGATTTATTTCATTCTAAGTGTATAAATGACATTTTCATTGTCCTATTTTTATTTATAAAGAAAAATATCAGAACATATGAAGCATTTCGTAAATTTGAAAAATTGTTTGGATGTTACATTCTACATATTCAAATAATAAAACAAATTTATATAAACATACGTCCCAGTTGACTTTGTTTTCGATCTAAAACGAGTTTTTTCTTTAATAAACTGTATCTTTCAACTCTTTCACAAAAGGTGTGAACACAAAGAGACGTTTTACCCATTGGCTGTCTCACCTCTAGGTATTGTTCTTTTATTTATTCAGGTATTGTTTGGATTTACAGAAAAGGTTTGTTCAATTCTCTTTTTGAAACTATTTCAACATTGTCGACGAATGTTTGTCGACGAATGTATATGATGGATCTAAGATAACCTTAGGAAATATTAATAATTTATTAGATTTAAATTAGACATTCTCTAGCAGCCAAGGAAATAATATCTTCATCTATCGATTTATTCGAAAATTGTTCATTCAAAAATAATCTCGCAATTCGATTAAAATACATGAGATTGCTGAGTAAAAGTTTTTGCAGTATAAAAATACAAAATTTAATATTAAATTCTGCTCGGAAATAAATCAATGGAATTAATTCAACTATACTCCTACCTTTCGATAGAATAACTCGATATAAAGTAAAATAATATTTGCTATCAATTTAAAACAGAGTTAAATAGAGCTTATATTTGTATAAATTTTTGTTATTATTTTCATATATGTGGAATCCATCGTTAAGGTAATTTTCTGAATTTACAGAACATCGTGTATAACTTTGGAATTATTTAAATTTCGTTAAAAATATAATAGGAGTAGTGAAATTTGAAAAAACCAAGAGTATTTTTCTTTCATGGTATTTTTACAAAATTTATTTGAAAAAATGTTGAAAATTTTTTTCAAATCCTCGAATTAAGTTTATTTTTATTTCTTTTTATTATCAGCATTGATCAAAAAGAAAAATAGAAAAATTAATTATGATATTGTTGTATTTCAAACAATTGTTTTATATTACATAATTGTATTATATGTTAAAATTATGGCGTAAAACTTATTATCAAGTTTCAAGTTTATTGTTCACTGATAGATACAAACGTATTTGTCTATACACGTCATCGTCGTTGTCTGCTTATCCGTTTATGTACACAAGAAATCCATTACCTATCAATGGTGATTGCATCGTAGAGGTTTCAGTGTGTTCCTTTTCAACACTAATAAATGTGCGACCATTAACGAATCTTTTTTTTTTTTTAATACAAAAATTCTTTTAATTTGTATATTAAAAGTATTCGTATACAAAAAAAATATAAATCTTATTGCAAAATCTTAGAGTACCATAAATAAATATAGTTATATTATACGTAATATTTGTTTAATTAATATATTTATACAATTTATTTATATAACGAAGAAAATTATTTTTACGTTAAAATAATAATAAAAATAAAATATTAAAAAATCATTTGCGATCGAAAGTAACGAGCATCTAAATAAATAAATGATCAATTTTTTGTATCATACTTACTTTGATCCTGTTGTTAACTTTCAATCGACATTTCTTTTTTTTAATATTCATTTTATTTTATAATATGAATGAAATAATAAATGATAAAATAAATTCGTTCAAATTTCTTGATTTTTATTGTTTAAAACAAAATTATTGATAAATTCGTACATACGAATATTTTCAAATCGAGCGCTATTTCACGGCAAGTCGACGAAGTTATTTAAACACGGGACGATGGCAGGCAAACTCGGTTATCAGACATGTTTATCGTTCTATGTAAGTTTCCTGATACGTCATATATGGAGAGGGAAAAGAGAGACAGACGGCTCGTGGCCACATGAGACGATTAAGATAAACGCGTCGAACATTTCAGTCGAAACGCAAACGTTTCGCGATTAACTTTTACTCGGCTTGTGTCACTTAGTTTTGTTATTTTGTTTTCATCGGCCATGCGGGTTTTAATTAACGTTGAAAATGTCAATTTTTTACTAAATAAAAAAAAAAAAAAACAAAGTAGAACCGATTACGCGTTAAAATATTGAACAAACAGGTGTATTAATGTTCCCACGATGATTATGGATAATATTGTGTGGGATAGCAAGTGTTGTGATACAATTATTTCCAAAGGATTGTAAATATTACTTTTTAAATGATTTTTATTTTTATTTAATTAGAAGAATAATTAATAATATTAAATAATTTTCAATCGAAATGATTCGATTGCGTCTTACGTTTTAACTTTTTTCGTGAGTCATGTATATTTTAAATACAGCATGTTACTTTTGCTAACGTAACTCTCGGTTCTCGTCCTTCTATTTCATTGCCATCATAACTTAAGAATATCATTTGTCTTGAGTATTTTATAAACGAATTACGAAACAAGTTGTTTAGTTTCAATTTTATGCCGTTCATAAATTGGATAGGTATGAAATGACTGACCAGTTGATTGATATCTATGAATCATCATTTTAATGTTTCTTATATTTATCAGTTCAAATAACAAAGTTTCTAACTTACATAAGTACATTGTACACACACACACACACCTATGTGTAAGTCATTTATCAGTATAATTACCGAATAGAATTTTTCTTTTTGTGATAAAAAAAATATTTGAATTTTTATTTTGAACTGAACACTATATTCGATGAAAAAATTCCGAGTAAATAGAAATTTTTTTCAATCATGAAGATGATAAATTGAAGAGGAAAAGCGTGTTTTTAAACGATTAAAAAATAAGTGAGATAAATTGATGGAAGTAAATAAAAAATTAGTTATATAAATATACAAGAATTGTTTTGATATTTCATTTAAAGCAAATAATATTTTTCTGATCAAATTAACTGAAAAAACGAAAAGGAGTTCTTGAACGAAAGGAGTTCGTTCTTGGAAACATCTGTTTCTCTATCTGACCGAACGTTTATTTTCGTTTAAAAACAAGATATATTTATATGAACATGGACGATCCGAAGAATGATGTTAGCCCTTCGAAAGAAATATCAGAATTGGATGAGAAAGAAAAATCTGTTGAAAAGTCAGAAACCGATTCGAAAAGGATGGCTCATTGTCTACCGTTGAACAATGATTCAAAAAATAATAGTTACTTTGATCAAAAAGAACATTGTGAAATGGAAGCTCCTTTAATAGAAACTTCGAAAGATGATCCTAATCATAAGGTTAAACATGAGGAAGCTTCATCAAACGTGATAGATCCATCGATGGTGGTAGGTTCATCGTCGCCTATTAAAAAAACAACCATTGAACAGGAAAAAAAAGTCGAAAGACACAAAGAAAGGAGTACAATAGGGGCGTTGAAAAATTCGATAGATAAGAAATTAGGTTCGGTTGAAAGGAAGTTAGAAGATCGTGTCGAAAAAATATTGGAGGATAATATTGAAAAATATCCTTGGTTGATACCAATAGAAAATTGGATCATCGATCGATACAAATCGGACGATAAATCTCATTCTAAAAAGATTCAAGATACTTGTCGTACCAAGGGCACAACATATGAATTTAAATTCATTACTGCCGATGGAGCCAACGAGGAGCCCAAAATCGAAAGTATTTTAAAGGAAAAACCAAAAAGAGGAATTCGAAGATTGCCTTCGACGAAATTGAAACGATCTTCCATCGATGAACAAACTATAATTTCACATTTTAAAAGTATGGACGAATCATTCCGATCCCACAGTGCCGAGGACGTGTCCGTTATTGGAAATCGACCAACCAATTCGGAAGAAATGTTAACCTTGAAAGAAGTCAAACCAAATAATCCACGTTTTGATAGATTCGTAGTTAATGTTAAAGAAAAAATGGAAGACATACACAGGGTATCAACATTATTATTATTTTTTTTCAGAATTTTTCGTAATATTATGAAGGATAATAATTATGATTATTTGGATATATGCATACGTTTATATGATTTTAGAACACATGAATAATTTGAAATCTTTAAATTTCAGTATTTTCAAAGGACTAATCGGTTGGCAGACGTGAATAGAAAATTAAAGTCGCAAATATGGAGTTCGGTAGTAACGATTGTTCTAGTGGAAGCAAAAAACTTGTTACCGATGGATATCGATGGTTTGTCCGATCCCTACGTTAAATTTCGGTAAATATATAAATATATATTGGTTAACTAAATAATCTAATATATCAAATAAATGATGAATGATGATTTTGTAAATTCTTTCCTATATATACAAGAGATATGAATTTTTGTAAAAATTTTCTAAAAATTATTTTTTTTGCAGCCTTGGTACGGAAAAATACAAATCAAAAGTTATGAACAAAACTTTAAATCCGGTATGGTTGGAACAATTCGATCTTCATCTTTACGAGGATCCTTATTTAGGACAGGAATTGGAAGTAACAGTTTGGGATCGTGACAGAAGTCATCAGGATGATCTCATGGGTCGGACCGTTATTAATTTGGCAACGTTAGAACGGGAAACTACTCATCGATTATGGCAAGATCTCGAAGATGGTTCAGGAAATATTTTTCTTCTTTTAACTATCAGTGGGACTACAGCTAGCGAGACTATAAGTGATTTAGCTGCACACGAAGAAACTCCTAGAGAGAGGTCGAATTTAATTCAAAGATATTCTTTAGCAAACACGTTGCAAAGGCCTCGCGATGTTGGTCATCTGACGGTGAAGGTAATTGCAGATAATTGGTATCTCTTTATTAGTATCGTTAGTGTGCTAAGATATAATTGTATTGGAAAATTTGTGTAGATTTGTAAGAAACAAAAATTAACATTATATTTAAAAATATTCTATATACATTGCGAATATATATTATACAATATATTAATAAATTAGTACGAAATTTTCGATCAAATCAATACATGACTTTAATAGATCGACTCGACATTCCGATAAAAAAAAACGGGGACGTTTATTTCAATCAATCATTAAAATATAGAGTATTACTTATTAAATACGAGTACCTACTATTGTTGAAAATCGATCCTCTTGTAATTAATAAATAAGTAGATTATTTTCTTTGACAAGATTTCGGAGAACTCACTACTCGTTGTTTTAAATGGGTAAACTATATCTGGTTTATATTTCAATTAATTTCTTAAAGCTATATCATCCATTTTAATCAAGTACCATTGATATTGATCTCACTCCTCGAGCTGGCTATTATTCGTTCGGTGTTCATTACTTTTCAGATATATCGAGCTCAAGGTCTCGCAGCAGCTGATCTCGGTGGTAAGAGTGACCCTTTTTGCGTCCTGGAATTGGTGAATGCTAGATTGCAAACACAAACTGAATATAAAACATTGGCTCCTAATTGGCAAAAGATTTTTACCTTGTAAGTTATTCATTCTTACCGATTTCAAATAAAATATTAATCATTTAAATGATTCATTTCTTTTTTTCTTTTTACGTAGTAACGTAAAGGACATTAATTCGGTGCTAGAAGTAACGGTTTATGACGAAGACAGAGATCACAAAGTTGAATTTCTTGGTAAGGTTGCTATTCCATTATTGAGAGTTCGTAACGGTGAGAAAAGATGGTATGCTCTGAAGGATAAGAAACTGAGAGGTCGGGCTAAGGGTAATTCACCTCAAATTCTTCTTGAAATGACTGTAATTTGGAACGTATTCAGAGCTTGCATCAGAACACTCAATCCTAAAGAAAAAAAGTATATGGAACCTGAGATCAAATTTAAGAGACAAGTTTTTCTGAGAAATGTCCTTAGGCTCAAAGCGATCATTTTATCTGTCATCGAAATGGGAAAGTATATACAGTGAGTAGTGGCTTTTCTCGGTGTCGTTAAATAGAATTCTCATAGAAACAAATAACAATTATTAAGAATTATAATTAAATTGATACAATATCCTTTGTCTATTTTACATTCGATTTCTTCTTTCTTTCTACGGTCAGGAGTTGCTGGGAATGGGAAAGTAAACCAAGAAGCATATTTGCCTTGATCATCTTCGTTCTTGGATGTTATTACTTCGAGCCGTACATGATACCAGCATTGGCTTTATTAATTCTACTCAAATATTACCTGGTAAGAATAAATTCTAACAACAATGATGCTTTCTGTATATACAAAAAACCCTTAAACTCGCTCTATTGCTTAAGACACTTGCTGTGCCGATATTGCAACAACATTTTATCGAATATCCCCCCTAAACCAACCTATAAACCTCTCTCTACAATTTTCAACAAATCGATAGTAGAAACTGAATTACATAGATTTTTGTTATTACAAAATTAGAGCACTTTAATTAGTTTTTTTAAAAGATTCTTGCCCAAAGTAGTTTGAAATCCTGCATATAATCAATTGCATTGTGAATAAAGCAAGATTAATTATTAATAATCTACCAAGCTAGTATTTCATGTAAATATATTAGAATTTGCCCATTTTGTTATACCTTTCTATTTGAAATAATAATGCTAATGAAGATTACTTAAGCATGGATGAAAAATAAGCTGGAATCTATCCGAGTGGAATACTTTAGCAGCCCACTGTCAACCATTCTGACACCTGTCGATCCACCGGTAATCTTACTACTAGTAGAAATAGTAGTAGTTTACGTCGTTACCTTTATACATATATAGTTAACATACATAGTATCTTGATTTGTCTCTCTCTCTTTCTTTCTTTTTCTCTCTTATTCTATTTGAATCTTTCTCTGAGACACGCTTGATAGAAGTAATTTGTCACTTGATCGCAATGCTGCATGTCGTGTTTCTTTGGTATCGGCCAGCTTAACAAGGAGGATGGGAGTGGATTCAATCAGTGGATTTGCGGACAGGTCGCCGCAGTTACTGGTGCGTCTTTGACGTATCAAACGAGCCCTCATTTTCAAGATACCTCGGAATTGGCAGCAGATGATGGACCGGTAACACCAGGTGACGATGACGATGACGAGGATGATAAAGACAAAGTGAGTACTCTACGGACAATTGTTATTTCGATTTAATAACATCTAGTCGATTGATACGACCAACTCATGATGAAAAATCATTTTGCAGGAGGAAAAGAAAAGTCTGAAGGAACGATTACAGGCTATTCAGGAGGTCACCCAAACTGTACAAAACTCCATTGGTTATATCGCCAGTCTTTGCGAGAGAATAAAGAATCTTTTCAATTTTACAGTTCCTTATCTCAGCTATTTAGCTATGACCTTGACCATAATCGGTGCAGCTGTTCTCTACTTTATACCAGTCAGATATCTTATACTTGCTTGGGGCGTGAACAAATTCTCCAGAAAAATCTTGAGGCCACATACTGTGCCTAACAACGAGATACTTGATCTTATATCTCGAGTACCTGACGACGAGGAGATTCTTAACTATAGGCAAGTGAATAGCTCGTTAGCATAAATGTTAAGATTTTTGAACAATAAAATGACACTTGACTATTTTACACGTAGGGAACTAAAACCATTACCTACTGCTGATTGTGAAAGAGGTGGAGCACCAGGTTTTAGCGGTGGGAACACTGCGAAGAGGGAACAACGGAAAAGACACAAAGTGGCGTAACAGAATGGCCCGCGGCCGGAAGTCGCGGGTCCAAGGTCATCCAGTATACTGAAGTCGGTACTCTTACGTAAGAGATTGAAAAATCGAAAAGAAACTACCGATAATCCGGATCAAGTCGTCGACATCGATTAAATCGTCGAACGGTATGATCAGCTGGATGAAGATCATGGGGAAAGAAAAATCATCGTTTTAACATCCTGATGATTTCACCAACGAATAATACGAGTATCTATCTATCTTTTTTTCCCAAAGGTCATCCCAGTGAACTTACTAAATCGATAACTGGGACACAAACGTAGGGAGTGAGATAAAGAGATGTATAGATAGATAGATAAATAGATAGATAGATAGTTGGATAGATAGTATTTCAGTGAGATAAAACTGACGTGTAAAACGATCTTACTCGCAAGAAAAATATATCTATCCTTTAGTATTACAAATATAATACGTTCTTTCATTGGTCAGGAATATTATGAGACAAGTTTTGAATAGACATTATCATGTTAAAAGCTAAATTTTCTGCTTGATGGTTCGCTATTATTGAATAAAATATTCGCTGGGTGTGTTTTGACGATTCATACTTTATAAATTACGATCCTCGTGATCACACATATGAAATCATCCTCGTCTTTTAGCTTTGTTATGACTATTTCTTCCTTTTTTAGATTTTTGTTTATTTACAAAATGCGAAATACCTATACGCAATTCTTATTTCTATTTATACATGAAATAAATCGTAATAAAGGAGCTTCCAATTGTAATGAAAACAATAGGAGCATGTATTAATTGACGCGATGATTTCTAACCGAGTACAAATCTTTCCCAAGTAATAGTTAAAGTTTCTAAACGTGACTTTTTAGTAGGGGATTTTTTATCTACTTTTTCGTGTCAATTGTTTATTATCATGCGAGTTGCGAATGATTTTTACACGTTAAGCTTTATTGTTGTACACTATTCGATTTTACGATTAATAGAAAATCATTGGATTCCTTTTAACTTGCTCGACATTTTTGAGATTTGATCGATATTTATCAAAAAGAAAAAAGAAAATAAAAGGATTTAGACGAGCGACCAACAACACATTATATCACATATATTATATATATATTTCTTATCAAGGAAAACATAATTTAAATGATAATATCTCCGTTGTTGGGAATAATTTGTTAAACGAACAAACATAAATTATAAAAGAAGAAAAATTAAGAGAAAATATAAAAAAAAAAAAGAAGAAGTAACAGAAAAAGAAAGAAATAATAAATCGCCTATACATTTTGATATTATCTCTGTGTATTTTTATGATATAGGATTATTCGTATATTATAATAATAAGAAGATTTATATATAAATTGATGATGTTTTTCTCTTAATCTTTAAAAATTAGATTATAACGGATAAAGAGAAAATTATTACGAATGTGTAAATCTTATCTTTATCGACGAAGATATCCTATTTCGAACAAAAATTTTCTCAAGAAATATTTGAGAAACTTTTTCCGACGGAATCTCTTTGAAAGTATCTCCTATGGAAAATAGATCGCATTTAAAATAAAAATAATGCCATTGCGATTATATATATGTATCTGTGTGCTGATAATTATAACAGGGAACTGACAATGAGATAACAAAAATTCTAACAATTGATTTTATGATTCATTTTGTATTACAATTATTAGTATTATTTAAAAAAATCATAAAATTAATTTTTTTTTTTACTTATAGTCTATTATAATAATTACCGGCACATAAATATATAAGAAATTAAATAAAATTTCGATTAAAACCAAATAATAATAACGAATAGTAAAAATGACCTTAATGAAAGGATTTCCTTTTCTCTGGTGAACACGCATCGATCGTTTCGTCCATCGGTGTTATAGGATTAGCCATTGAAATTGTTAACGTCTTGTTAAAAACGATTATAATGCGTGAGAACAAGAGAGAAAACGAGAAAAAGTTATATAGCTAAATAATAATAATAATAATAATAATAATAATAATAATAATAATAATAATAATAATTAAAGAAGAAATAAAGAGAGTAAATTAAATTATAAAAGATATATATATATATATATATAAAAATATGTTAAATATAGAATGGACGAAAGTGAAAGAAAATGTGGAAGAGGAATGATATGACAAAAAAAAAAAAGAAAAGAGAAAATAGCATCTTATATCGTATATAGTAAAATATTCTGCATACGATCTGTACTCGTCATGAAATCGCATTATCACGATTTTTGCAGATTATTAACCAGGTGAAATATCTTTAAAAGTACATATATTCATGCATACGTTTGTATTAATGAATATCGCGTCTTTATTCTCACGCACATATACACACAGAGATACATACATAAACAACGTACACGTGTTTTCCAATGTATTAGCTCGCTTTTTCGAGTCAAATTATTGGGATTGTTTAGTATGAAAAATAATTTAAAAAAAAAATAAATAAATGATTGAGTTAATTTAGTTTTTTTTTCTTTTGTAAATGAATAACATCAGTCTATAATATTTAGTAGTATAAATAATATTTTTCTTCTAGCTTTTTAGTTATCTCATTTCTTTTTTAATATAGCAACAGTTATTTATGGCACACGATCAATTAATTTTTTTTTTGTATAGTAAGATTTCAAGATCTTTATAAAACATCGAGTATTCACATAAAAATTTGATTTTTCTCTTTTTTTTTTTACACAGAATTTCAAAAATCTCTCACGTTATACTCGAGAAAGCGAATAACGCATTGTTCCATTTTCTTGTCTGTAATGTAACGAATTGCACGCATGAATCGTATGGAAGTGAAAAAAGAAGCACAAAAAGAAGAAAAAGGAATAAATGGAGATGAAGTATAGAATATCGTTAACCCATTTTCTCGGTCTCTTATATTACGCTGTTATAATACATGCGATACAATCTCTTTACTAAATTTTCTTCTTTCAATCGTCTTGTTCTTCTAATCGCGTGTATTTCAAGAGAACGTCGAGCAGAACGTTTAGAGAAGTGTGTTTTTTTATGCATCAAACGATTCCTATTTCTATCTTCTATATTTGTATTTGTATTTTACATTTGTATTTTATATTAACATTTATACACTGTTCGTGAAATCATTTGAAACACACAGAGTGTCTCAGCTGAAGAATTATATATATAAATATAAAGATCTGTACTCATCTCGATCGTATAGATGAAATAAATAATTTTAATATCTATACATATTTCAAAATGATTTCCATGTATATAAAAATATTCTTCTCTAGGCTCTTTTATATTAATAATTAAGATAACAGTAGAGTTTCAGATAAACTAGCTGTTATTTATGTTAAGAATAAAATCATTTCTCTTTATTACTCTTCCTTTTACGGATTTGAGGGATCCGTTCCCTTTACAATCGTTTAACAACGAGTCGTAAATCTACCTGCATTATTATAATACTTAATTGAACAATATAAATTAGAAAACTATTAATCTATGCTAAAATAACATCTTTGTAAGAATAAAATTGACAAGCAAATTACATTATACAACAATGAAAAAAAATCATAAAACTAAGAAAACAACATTTACCATACTAATGCAAATACATCAAACCTTACAGAGATTGTTTTACTTTACTCTGTTGTCAGTTTTACCCATTCTCAATTTTTTTATAACATCTTCACATTTACTTTATCCTTCAACTGTTTCCTTCCAAGATTAAACATATTTTCACCTGTTTCATCCTCTGCCTGTATCAAACTAAAAACCCAAATAGCGGAACTCATCCACTCTCTCATCCACCCGTTCACCATTCATCCTCCATTCATACTATATTTTACTTGTTCTCTTTCTTGAACACTACCTTTTTCGTCCTATTCACATTTATCGTTCTTTCTCACATACTTTTAAAACACACTTATCAACATTTGCATCCCTCTTTCATCGTCTGCTAGTAGAACCACATCATCTGCATATGTTAGCAAGCACACTTTTCCATTCCCTAAATGCGTTCTCCCTTTTCCCCTTTTCTGCAATTTTTCCTTCATATCCACCACAGAACAGAAGAGAGCTTAAAGGGCAGGTTTGCCTGTGAGCCCTCTTCTCATCAAAAACTCTTCTCCTTTTACGTCCCCTTATTCTCACTTTGACCCTCGGTTTCAGTGATGCATTCCTTTATTCTTTCGATCAGTCTATCCCTTCTCTCTTAATGTCTACCACAGTAAAAAACTTTAGAATAAAGTGAATGAGCAACCTAGTCAATAAACCATAGATTTAAATTTACCTAAAAAATACTTATATTAGGATCGAACGAAAAAGGGGTAAATATTTCGCGCCGTAACACGTCACTCGAGGGGGTAGTAACCATGGTGAAGATATTTAACAATAACAAGTGGACAATATATTAATTTGTTTAATTATCGTTAGAGTGTACGTCAATCGTGGACCCGCGCGATTTCTAAAATCAAATATAAAAATTAAATCCACATTATATATTTATATTTATTAAATTCAACAAAGATTAATATTACAAAATTGTAATAAATAGTAATATATAATCATAAGAAAAAATGGTTGATCTAGAAAAGGATAAAGGCAATATAAGTTTGCCTCGACGGTTACAGTCTCCTGATCCTGATGATAAAAAAATAGAAAATATTGTTGAACCTATGATTATTAATATGCAAAGAGCAGTCTATGATTTAAAAATTAATAATATTAATAACAAAATCCAAAAGTATAAAGTATTGATATATGTAGTAATAATATTAAAATAGATATTTTTAATTGAAAAGTCTTAATGTTTATTAGGTTACAAGAACTAAACGATGAACTTATAAATGATTATGAAGAGACTGAGTTACTTTTAACTTCAAGAGATACGGAAACAGCTAATGAAATCGCTCAATTAACGCGACATTTGTCTGTCGAATTATCAAAATTAGAAAATTTAAAAAAAAAATTTAATGTTCTAGAAAAAGAAATAATAAACGATAAATTGCTTCATATAGAAAAAGTCAATTTTATAAATGATAAATATGCGAAGAAACGTTTAGAATTGACATCGAAAATTAAACCATTAAGTAATTATTTTTTCGATATTTTTCTATTCCTTAATACAAATTAAAATACTGAAAGAAACAATATAAGCAACTTTAGAATACATTATTAGATGCAAAAATAAATATGTTGGAAAATTATAGAAGGTTGCAAGAAGTTCTTCAAGAAAAATTAGAAAGTAAAAATAATTTTCTACTACAGGAGGAAGAAAAAGTAGAAGAAGAAGTTAAACAAATTCAACGGAAATTTAAACTTGACAGAGAAAAGTATATATCAAATACATAATTATATGAATATTATAAATAAAAAAATTAATATTTATCAATATTAATATAGGCTTAAAAAGGACATGTACAATCGTCTTCTTGACTCTGCTGGAATTTTTCAAATGGAAATTTCAACGTATATGCAAGAACCTATTCATAAACTTATAAGAGAAAATATTATGTTGAATAATTATTTGACAGAAATTATGAATGAAAATCTTTCCAATAAAAAAATATTTAAGAACTTCGAGTAAGATTATTTTTTTATTATTAATTATAATTTTTGTGTGCACAAATGTTTTATTTTACTTCGTTTAGGCATACGAAGAAGATGCTTTTAGAAAAAAACAAATTCAATTATTTAGATACTAAATATAATATAAAAGTTACTAACATTCAAAATCATTTATTGAAAATTTTAAAAGAAGTACATAAAGATACAGAAAAACGTTTGATTAATTTCAATGTTTTAAATCAATATAATCCTGTGAAATATTTTATTGAAAGAGATCACGCACAAACACAGACTAATACCTGTGAGGTGCATGTAAGAGAATTGGAAATTATGTTACACGAAGAGAGAATTAAAATTAATAATTTAAAATATATTAGAAAGAAAACACAATGTAAAATAAAGAAATGTAGGGAAACGCTTTATGATGTTAAATACGCTATATTATGCGCTCTAAAGGTACAATAAATTAAAAATTAAAATATTGTATATTACATATTATACATTTTATACATTGTATACATTTAAATTATATAAAATTACAATAATTGAATTGCTTTTTATAGATGACAGATAGTAACTCTAATTTTGCGCAAATGGATATAACAAATTTGTTGGTATGTTTACAAAACATTATTTTAGAAGGACAAGACTGTATGTCGAACATTATAATTAAATCGTTAGTATTTATATTCATATTTTATATAACTCAATTGCAATCAGATCACATGAAATATTAATTTAAAACATAAATATAAAGGATAGAATCTATACCACAATCAAGTAATGTGTACATTCATGGAGATCTTGGATTTGAACCTAAATCGATTAAATTAAGAGAATCTACTCAAATAATAGAAAAGGAAATCTTCCCATCAATCACCTCGGAAGCATTTAGTATTAATCAACTAGTAAGATTTATTTTATAGATAATAAATCGACAGATTACTTAAATAATGAATAATATAGGAAAAACAATCAAAAGAAGTTTTAATGAAAGATAAAAGTTCAATTTTATTTGAGACACCATCAGTTAAGGAATTTATTGAAATTGAACATTCAAATGCAGAGGATTCAGTTTCAGAAGAATTTGAAGTAACAAAAATCAGTAATGATTAAAGTTATACTGAAACTTTCAAGGAACAAAAATAAAATTTTTTGATTAATTAAATTTATATTAGAACCACTGATTTGAGAAACTTATATAAGTAACAATACAGTTTATCAGTTTTTAATAATATTTTACTCTGTAAAAATTTAATTACTTCACCATTTATTTTTCATTAAAAAATATTATATAGTTTTATAATCATTGCTATTTATATTTATATATAAATACATTTCATCCTCATTCCTTTAACGTTATTTTATGATCCGGTTTAATATATCTCTTTACCTTAGCCTTGGTTCGTTTGCTAAAACAATACAATATATTTTTATTGATTTAATAATTACTATATAAATTAAAATCCATCTTTTCAATTATCATCACATTTATAAATAATAATGAAAAATAAAAATACTTACACAACAAGGTTAGCTGGTGCAACAATATTCCTTTGCTGTAACGATTTGTAACGATCCTTTAATAAATTACCAATACGTCCAATGTTTCTTAAATTTCCAGTTAATTCCTCTACTAACGTAAAGGAAGGTTCAGCAGGTTCGAATTTAACTCTACTCAATGTCTTCGTTTCTTTGGATTTTAATTTCTTTAATTCATTTCTTTTCTTTTGTAACATTTGTTCTTTCTTTTCTTTAATGCTTATTTGTTTTTGAAGTAATCTCAACTTGTATATATCAGATATTTTCTTTTTTTCCAATTTTGCTTGTGCTAATTTATTTGCCAAAATTTTTTGTTCCTTTTGCTTACGTCTTGTTACTAAAGTTTTCTTCTTATTTTTTACTGGTGGATTAACAGACTTAATATCATGATCTATATCGGTATCATCATTGTTATTATCACTGTTGGACTGTTCTTTATCTTCTTTACAAGGCAAGCCTTCGGCCAATTCCTTTAATGTATTTTTATCTTTCTCACTGGGTGAAATCTAATAAAAATAAAAACACAAAAGTTATTTAAAATACTTAATAAATAAAATATAAAAACTTATACGAATTACCTTTTTGAACATATTAGTAGTAACTCTATTCAAATGAGCTTCTTCTTTCATTAACTGTAATTCTTTCTGAGCTATATCATTTAACAAATTTTGATGATCCTTGTAAGATGGATTATATGATATACCAGGATGTGGAGCTTCTATTGCTGGTAAAGCTGATGGTTTTTTAAGTAAGGATGTAGGTAATTTCCTTTTCTTTAAACCCATATGTGAAAGAGTATGTCTCATAGTATCTGAAGTCATCCATTCTGTATCAATTTTGGATAAAACAGGATCTTCTTTATTCCAAATATCTTCTTTAAATTCATCTCGTTTAGGTCGATTAGCTCTTTTCAAATCTGCTAAAGCTCTATCCTGTTTTGCTTGTTTTTCTTTCAATTTCAAAATACCCTTTGTTTTTCTTTCTAATTCCTTGCGACGTAGGATTGGGTGTTTACGTTCTTCTGGAGTTCTAACACGATTTCTCTTTACGATTGGATCAGGAACAAGAGAATGCGGCTTTAACATACTAAAACACTTTGGCTCTGCATTTTTTAAGGCCAATCTACGCTGTTTTTTATCAACAGGTTTAATATCCTTAGTTGCAATACCTTTGTCAATTACAAACAAATCTTTATCTGATTTTTGAGAAACTGGCCCACCTAATCTTTCCTCTAACCTTTCTTCTTCTAAAAAATTGTCAACGTCCGTTATGTCAACGTGTTTTCTCCATGATTTTTTCGTTTTTTTAGAAACTTTACGTTTTTTAGTTTTAACGTCAATCATCTTGACGAATTTTTTACACGACCACGTGTATAGTAGAAAAATATCACGATGTAACTCGACTGATTTTATTTTCCCCACTCTTCTGGTTTTTTTATACTACTAGCGCTATCTGGCGTCTGATGCGACGACATAGAAAATGCGGTATAGCGGTACTACGCTTATATCAATCTGTATTTTTTGATAATTATTTCTCTTTTTTTTATCAGTTTTAAGTATACATAAATTAATTATAACTATACGTTGTAATACCGGTAATAATGATGTATAATAACATAAATATGTTATTACTTATGGTATTGACAATTTGTTCGTTTTAATTAATTCAATATGCTTTTAACTATTTGAGACATATATACATAAGATGTTATTATCCTTGATAATTAATTTGTATTATTGTCCTTAATATGGCAATTAAAATTAATACAGAGCTTCCAGGTAAAATAATAATGATAATAATAATTTAAATGTATTTTTAATAAAATTATTTTATAGTTATTTTTTAATATTTCAGGTGTTCCATTACCAGTGGCTCTTTTAATAATAATTATTTTATCGTTATGTTATGCAAATAGTTATAATGGTGTATTTGTATTTGATGATGCAGAAGCTATAGTCAATAATGATGATGCTCAAAAAACTCCTATTTGGAAAATATTTAAAAATGATTTTTGGGGTACTAAATTATCTCACAAGGGTAGTCATAAATCTTATCGTCCTCTTACAGTCTTAACATTCCGGTAAACAATTGTACAAAATTCTGTAATTTATAAATTACAGAAAAATATACATTTTATATTAAAATATTAATAGAAAAAATTATATTAATTGTCTTGGTTTTTTTTTTTATAGAATACAATATTGGATCAGAGGTCATTTAAATTCTCAAGATTTTCACATTGCAAATATTATTTTGCATATAATTGTTTCCTTATTAACTTACTATGTGTTCAATATTCTTTTAAGTAACAAAGAACAAAATCTAGCTTTTTATGGGACAGTATTATTCACGATACATCCAGTACATACAGAAGCTGTAAGTTATTCCATTGTAACATATATTATTTCATTTAGATATTATTTATCGTAATAATAAATGAAGATTTCAGGAATTGTAGGTAGAGCAGAATTACTATGTTTGTTATTTATGTGGCTATCACTTATAATGTACAATCAGTGCATTATCGCTAAACATTTTATTTCTAAGTTGTGTAATATAACTGGTTGCATCACAAGTATTTTGATAGCAATGCTTTGTAAAGAAACTGGTATTACTGCGATTGTAAGTATGAAAATAATTTTATATCTTTACTTATTTTTTTTGTAATTATGATTTTATGAATTACAGGGAATTTGTATTGTATATGATCTAGTCATTATAAATGAATTTTTACCAAACGATATATTGAAGTTATTAACAAGTAAAGATTCTCATATAAGCTCAACGATCATTGCCAAATTAAATCGTTCATTTTTTATTAGAATGTTTGTACTTTGTTTAAGCGCAATAATGTTGTTATCTCTGAGATTTACTATTATGGAGTTTTCAACGCCAAAATTTCAACCCGTAGACAATCCTGCATCATTTGTGGATAATTGTTTCCTTCGCTTTATCAATTATAGTTATATTTACAGCATAAATATGTGGTTATTAATTTGTCCAGTGTGGCTGTGTTTCGATTGGTCAATGGGTTGCATACCTTTGATTACTGGATACGATAAAAGGATATTTTTCATTATACTTTTTTGGATGTTCATAGGTACAATAATTGTCCACATTTTTTCAGCACATAAAGATAGATTTTTAAGGTATTATATATTTCATTTAAAATTTTACTTTTGATTTTATTCAATTAAGTATATTGAATCATAATATTTGTTGCAGATGTACAATTATAGGATTAGCACTTTTAGTTGTACCTTTCTTACCTGCTAGCAATATCTTTTTTACTGTTGGATTTGTACTAGCGGAAAGAACTTTATATATTCCTTCAGCAGGATATTGTCTCTTAGTAGTTATCGGATTGCAAAAGCTTTTAAAGGGTACATCTCTAAGAAATTTATTAATATTGTTTTACACATTCTTGTGTGTTACTTTTTTTATACGTTCATGGAATAGAAGCGATCAATGGAGATCCGAAGAATCACTTTTCAGATCTGCATTGGACGTTTGTCCACTCAATGCTAAAGTTCATTATAATATTGCTAAAAATGCGGCAGATGCAGGAAATCTTAATTTAGCTAAATTGGAATACGAAGAAGCCTTACGGTATATCTTTTATTTGAGTATATTTGATAATTATTTAATGTTATATCATAACAGACTGATTATTTTTTTCTTTTTTTTATATAGTTTAAATCCAAAATATCCTCAAGCAATGAATAATCTTGCCAATTTACTTAAAGATGAAGGAAAATATGATATTGCTGAAAATCTATTCAAACAAGCTGTTACATTGCAGTAAGATTTTATGAAATATTTTTCTTGTTAATAATATCAGATTATAAAAATAATATATTAGAATTTTTTTGATCTCATTGTCATAATTACATACTAAAATATACATTTAACAATTATAGAAAAGATTTTGCCACAGCATGGATGAATTATGGCATAGTTTTATCTGCACTTAAAAGATACGAAGAATCAGAAAGAAGTTATTTGACTGCCCTATCTCAGAAACCCAAGTATCCTGATTGTTATTACAATTTAGGTGTTTTGGTAAAGAGATTAATATTAGTTTATATATATATATATATGCATTAAAAAATAATAATTGTTAAAAGTTCGATAAATATATATCTAATGTCTCTTCTTGTAGTATTTAGAACAAAAACATTATCACAAAGCATTAATGGCTTGGACAAATGCGACTAAATTAAAAGTAACTCATAGAAGAGCATGGACAAATATGGTAATATTGTTGGATGATCTAGGTAAGTGAATTAAATAGTTTCTACAAATAATAATAAATTGTTATTAATTTAATAATTTTTGTATCGTATTTATAGGTATGTCAGAAGAAGCATTGAAAATTGCAAACGAAGCTTTACAACATATTCCTGATCATGCATCAATATATTTTAATATTGCTAATATATTAGGTAAATTAGGTAGATTTTTAGAAGCGGAGACATATTTTAAACAAGCAATATCGAGAAATCCAATAGATTCTATGTTTTATACAAATTTAGGTTTGTATTTTCTTTAATTCATATATAAATTGTATAAATATTATAGTTAATATTATATTAATATCTGCACACACACACAAAATACATTATGTTTTATATATTTTTGTAGGTGTATTATATCACCGTTGGAATAAAGTTAATGAAGCAGAATATATGTATAAAAAAGCATTAGAATTTAATCCACATTCACAGAGTGCAAAAGAAAATTTGAAAAAATTGCAATCATTGAAACGATCAATGAAATAATTATATTTTTGTACATTTTTTACACATTATTTTCAATATATTAATGTTTCCTAAGAAATGATTAGAATTATATGGATTTCTATATATCAATTATGTGTCAACGTTTTCTGTTAGTTCTACGTTTTCTTCTTTTATTCTTCTATATTGTTGCTCGTCTGGTTCGTCAAATATTAATGTTTCTTTTGCAATACTAGCATCACAGGGATAACGATATGCTTTAAAATTTCCTATCTTTTCACCATTAATATAATTGTACGACTTAAAACAAATTTCACAAAAAAAACAAGGATTATGAGGTACTCTATCATGTTCTTTTGTAATCCATTGAGCAGCCAAAGTTCCACACATGTAACAGTATACAGTTTTTTCTTGCTTAATCCTAATAATTCTTGGATATTCAGATATATGTAATTCGTCGTGAGGTTGTGCCAATCTAGACAAATATTAATTTTCAAATAAACCAATGAAAAATATTACATTTTATAATTTATATAATATTAAATACATAAGCTAATATACCTTGCATCGCTGAATACAATAATATGTTCGCAAGAACCTTGATGCATGTAAAGCCATGGATAACCAAATCGAACAGTAAGGGAATCTATTCTAATATTTTCCATAAAATCAATACTGAATGGTCCTAAATGTCTAGCCTTTGCCCATTCTATTATCGGACTACTGTAATCTATATTTGTTGGATCTCTAAAGTCATTATAAAATGTTTCTTCTATATAAAAAAAGCCAGACTTATACACATCCTAAAAAAATAACAATAAAATTATATTAGAAACTAATTACAAACTAAATACAGTAAAAATGAAGATTTACTTTTGCCATCGGTTGTAATGGTTGATTAGGATTCTCACTGACTTCCACTGGAATTGTTAAGTCGCACATGCATCCTATCTTATCGCGCAAATCAGTGAGCATCTGTCTTCCTAACACTCTTATCACATGATGTAGGATAGGTTTACAGTGTTTATTTACATTTTTCATTACGTTTGTTGAATGCATAAAAGGTTTATACACTCTAACGTCAATGAAAATGTCTTCGTACGGTGTAATCAAATTATCTGTGTTATTATCTGTTATTTCGACATCTTTATAAGACTGTAAATATTTATTAAATGTAAATAAATAATAATTATAATAATATATATAGGTAAGAATAATAAACGTACAATCAATTTTTCGATAATATATTTGAACTGATAATTAGCTTTGTTTTTTTTTATCACATTCCAATTTCGAAGAGTTTTTAAGTTATGATCTTTTGTAATATTAATTGTCCCTTTCAAAAGTTTTGATTTCTGTAGTAGTTCTATTTCCAGTTTAGGCATCTCTTCAGGTACAGTTAAATTGTCTGTGCTTAAAATGAAATTTATAAATTAAATTTATGTAGAATTATTTCTTGCTTGCTTGATCACCAGTTAAAAAATACCCTATACATATATATACCTGCAGTATTCTTCCAACAAATCCATTTCCTCATCTGATATATCAACTTGCATTAATTTAAGGATAGATGAATTCTCCTTGTCTTTTGAATTCAATAAATTAGGACAAACAGGTTTAGTGATTTCGGAATATTCAGTAAAATATTCCTTTATGTTAATTTTTTCTGAAGCTTTTTGATTATAAAATCCATATATCGAATCCATTTTTTTAAATAATAATTTAGATTTCAAATCTAATACATAAAAACAACACTCGCGATTATTATTAACTTTATTATAACATATTAAAGAGGTTAGAATAGGTGATATGTCAAAGTTTTAATCTTATTCAACAAGACATGTTTCCGATAATATATTTAATCATATAGAAGATTAACCACTCTTATTTTAATACATAAATTATTACTTTAACTTTATCTTGAATTACACACAATAAACGAACAATAATAACAAACCCATGGGACATACATCACAGAAATACTGCGCATGCGCATCTTTTAGTATATTAGCGCAGAAACATCTGATTGGTTGAACAATCTCAGTACCGTATGCATTCGAGAAAAAAAAGAAATGTGAGCGAAATTTCGAACGACATAAATAAATTTTTGCGAATTTTACATTTGTTTATAAATTTTGCAGAAAAAAAATAAATTTCCATTAATAAAGACAAAGCTTTCGATTAAATATTAATTTTTATATTGTAAATGCTATACACTTATTAATTGTAAGCTATTAAAATTAAGAATATTATTTGTTACAATTTTCACGATAGATTAAATGAAAAAATGTAATAAAAGAAACCCAATGTCTAAAAAAATTTTCAAACGCGATAAGATCAATCACGATCTTACAAATATTGCGTTAAGAAAAAATTAACTTTGTAGTATATTCGTCATGAATGATAATAAAAAGGATTAAGAATTATCTCTTACAATTACAGATAAATAACAAATAATGCACTTAACGTAGAGTAAGGAGGGTGAAATATGATTGAGAGGAGAGGATATGAGTAAGTAGTATCTTTTGAGTAGTTTATGTAGTCAGACCGGAGCGAGACGAAGAGAGAGAGAAAGAGAGAAAGAGAGAGAGAAAAAGAGAGAAAGAAAAAGAGAGAGAGAGAAAAAGAGAGAAAAAGAAACGTTTAGGGTAGGAACGAACAATGCAGAGGCGTCAACCAAAGACGCTCACGGCGCACTGCACTCGCCAATGGTCCGTGCGAGTTCGGAGAGCGTGGCGAGTTTGGCCACGCCCCTTAAGCGTGGCCACTCTACTCACTCGCGGGACCTTCACGGTTAAGCATATCGCACGCTTGACGAAGCGCGCATCACGAATGTGTATCCTCGCTAGGATGAGAGAGAAAGAGAAACACATATGCATCTGAGTATATGTAAGTTGTATCTATGAGAAAGAGAGAATAAGAGAAAATAATTTGGCGGGGGTCGTATCGGCGTGTTCGGCCTGCCTTCCCCACGGACTAATATAAGCGGCAAAAGGAGAGAGAGTCAAGAGAGAAGATTTCTTATTTCTGCTCTGGTAAATCTGTCGGGGCAGTCAGTGCGAGGCTGTGAAGGCCAAGCCGCGCATCATTGCTTTGCGGTCCATTATTTTCTATTTGGTTTATCTATCTCTTTCTCTCTCTCTCTCTTTCTCTTTCTCTCTATCTCTTTCTCTCTTTCTGTCTCTCTGTCTTTCTCTTTCTCCTTCTCTTTCTCGTACACGTACATAATAAACACAGTAAATACTTACATACACATTGTAACACGCATATGTACATTTATTAATTTTGTAATCTCTTCGTGATTAATACATACAAGTTATTGACAAAAATGTACTCATGCAATTGAGAGAAAGAAACGAAGCTTTTTATATAAAAGAAAACGTAAAAGTGTTGTTTCTCAGTGCTTTGCCGGCATTACGCCATTACAAGTTGCGCCACGCGTTGCGTTAGGGTTGCATTACGCCACGCATACGCGCGCGAAAATTTTAATTTATAAATAAGTAATATAAGTTAAGTAGAGTAATTAGGTGTTAGAGTGCTGGATAGTCGCGTGTGCATTTTTGTTAGTTGATTGTGTGAGTGTTTTTTCATCATCACATGTGTACTTTCCCACAAACGGTTTCAAACGTGAATGATATGACTATTTCTTGACAAACCTTTTTATCCCTGAAAGTAAAAGAAAATATTATAATAAAAAGAAAAAGAGAGAGAGAGAGAGGAAGAAAGAAAGAAAGAGAAAGACCGTGGATCGATAGATCGATTGATCTTTGAATATTTTATGTAGCCGACGGACGCAAACTTGGTTTTCCTTCTTGCGCGTATCGATGGATCCGATCGTCCTAGGTGAGCTTATTATAATCGATATTAATCTTTCATCGATTTTTCATAATTTCAATATTTTATATATTTTAGGTTGCACTATAAATTTCTTACTTAAAAAAGAGAATAAAATAAGTTTATATCTTTTTTGTTTCATTAACTTTTCTTTTTATATTTAATTTACAATTAGTTAGTATTGTTCGTGTAAAATTTACTAACAATAAGAAGGGTGATCTAATATTTTTGGTTTTTTTTTATTTAATTATGCATTTTTGTCTGTTTTTTAAATACAATGAGATATATGTCGACGATAAATGATTTCAAGTATTTATAAATATGTCTATTTTAAAAAATTGTACATACGTCTATAATACAAGAGGGAGAATATCGCGATAATCTCGTTTGAAAATATGCGAGACAATGAGAGAGAGAATGTAAATGTCATCGATTGTTTTATGTTTCATAAACTAACAGGATATATTTATAAATTGGTTTAATAAATATTATTAGATTTATTTACTTTCGATTAGAATGTATGATTAATATCATAACTTTTATTTTGTTAGTACATTGAATAATAAATTGAAAAATTAATTGATCATATTATTTGTCTGTAATTCGACTGTATTATTTTCGTTTGTTTATTTAATTTAATTTAGATTCATTATATAAACTCTTTGGTACCGTTAAAGATCGTGCGAGAAATATTGAAAACACGATCGAACGAATCATTGCACTCGTTAAGAAGAGGAGAAAGAAGAGGAGGAACAGGAGGTGGAGAAAAGTGTCGTATTACTTTTTGTAAGACTTTCGTCGAAACAGTAATTCCAAATTTATTACCTTTCCAAGATTCTTGAAATGAAAATAGATTTTCTTCTTTGACATTTGAATAGGGTTCGTAGACTGAACTTAATTATTACATTTTATATATATAGATTTTTTTTTTTTTTAATAAACTTCTCATAAAGTTTTATGGGAAATGACGAAGAGAGCAAATTTTTGTTGAGAAAGTATCAGATTACTTGTTAAGAATATGTTCATTTATTTGATCTTTTACACTCGTTGGATGTCGATGTAATTATTTTTTCTTTTCTTGACTCTTTCTAAATTTCAATGAGAGTGTTAAAAGAGAAACTGAGAGATATAATCAAAAGTAAGAAAGAAAAGGCGCGAGTTTCAATTAAATTCGACCTATTTTCTTTAGAATTTAAAAGTAATACGACAGCACAATGTGTGTGTTATGACTCGGTTTGGCGCCATTCTGACACATCGTTTAATAAATTATAATATTAATGTGAGAAAATGGATAGCTCATTTGTATCGCATTTTTTTTTTTATCATTGTACTCTTACATTTCATATTTTCGCACAAAGAAAATCCTAATGTGCGATAATAATTATAAATAAATATCTATTAAATTATACTTTTCTTATTTATATTTAAAAATCAAAATACAAATGATCAATCAGATTTATCCGTTAAATAAATAAAATTAATTTCAGATATTATTATTACCGTTTATCTAATTATTGACGTTCAATTTTTCCTTAAGCAAATTGGGACATTATATACAATATAGAAACTTGTGTATATATTTATTGATAACGATAATACATACTGCAGATAGAGATACGTGAGAATGAGATTTGATCCATTCATAGAAAATACGCCTGCTGTACTCATTTCTCTGACAACCTCTGACCTTGTGGGTCCCGGATGCCCTGCTAAGCCCTTATCGCATGATTTCAGTCTTTTTTAAGCACATCGGTCGTCGTTGAACGAGAACGAAATACGAGTAGTTAGTGAACCAGAGAATCGTTCTTTAATAATTAAGCGTTATTGCGGAACATAATTATGTACATATGTATTACCTACATCAAGGAAAGTCTTTATGATATATATTAAATCAAACATTTTAAATACTTTCACTGTAATGTGTAATTTAATTAAACAGAAAGAGAGAGAAAGAGAGAGAGAGAGAGAGAGAGAGAGAGACAGAAAGATTTTATATAACATTAATCATCATTTTATTAATAAAAGATTAATAATATTATTGTTAATAATAATAAATCCATTATGCAATATTATTTGCCACATTTTAACAAATCATTGTACCATCAATATAAATCATAATACCAGCAATATAAATTTCCTATTAGATTTATGTACTGATAATATTAATAATAATATAAATAAAATTATTCGTAAAACATAATCGAGTTTAGAAGTAAGAAAGGAAATTATTAATAAAACGGATGAGTGATTTGTAATTAACGAATTCTTTTAAATAATCAGTGGCACATTATTCTATGGACAAAAAAAGATAATTTTCTGGGGCCCCCCCCCATCAATGAAGTACATAAAAAATCATGAAATCAATATTCTATAAACTGATATTTGTTGTAAAAATAAAAAAGAATATCTAAACCCGATAAAAAAAATTCAACATTAAACATGGGGAACTCCGAAATTAAAATTTCCTCGGGGTCCCATGAAGTCATAACACGCTACTGTAAATAATTCGTATAAAGTATTACATTTATTTAATTCTTACATACATCGAATCGAGAATAACGTTTTAAAAATATTATCATTATCGGGCTCCGCTTTTTCTTCAGTGACGTTAAGAATCTTCGAAGTCATTGACACCAATACATTCACATATGTATGTATAGTAGCGACTATAGTTCAAGACCTCGATATGTAGTCTGATATATTGGAAATGTACGGTCAAGATAGAGGATTTGAATATTCAAAAGGGATTTTCATTAAGAATGATATTTATCTGAAACAAATTTAGAAATTCTAATTTAAAAAGAGAAAAAAAGATCATTCAAAGTTGTCATACGCTCTATTATTTAATAATTTTTTATTATTATTATTGTACGTTATCATCACCTTTGAATTTATCACATACTTAACTTCTATATTCTAGTCGTTCATTCACCTATTTATCTATTTGTGCCTTTTATTGATAAGAAATTAAACTTTCTCTCTTTCTCTTTCTATGTATTGTTATATTTTATTTTAAAAAACATTTGCAAAAAAATAATCGAGATAATAGATAGAAAAAATTCGATATTATTTTTGTCTGTTTGTTACTTTTTTTATAGTTATTATGTTTTAAGTGTTACTCATTTTGTTTCTACCATTTGAGAAAAATATTTTCTAATTTAACATAAAGGGTCTAAGTAGATAAATCCAGGTGTACTTTTTTCGAGGAGTAGTCCTTTCCGTAGTAGACCTAGAACACGTTTACAGATTTATTAACGTTCAATTAGTAATGTTTGTTTTGGTTAAACAAAGAATGTAGCTTTTAAAATGTGCCCAGACTATGCTTGAAATCCCGTTGACAGAGGACTCCGCAAATATTTCTGTTGGCTCCCGAAGAATTCTCAGGTTTTTACCTTTGAAATCTGTTCGGCTGGCTGTTTCCTTCTTTTCTGCTACTGTTAAATATGTGTACAAACTACTTTAGATATTATAATGTAGTCCAAATATTTCTTGTAACATTTCTTTTGATTTTTTCTTATATTAATGAGTCGCACGTTTAAACTATTCATTTCTTATGATTTGTCTTGTAATATTAATTGTAAGAGTACAAAGTATTAACGTGTTACATTACAAAAAGTCAGAAAACAAATTGTTCGGATAATCACGATGAGAAATAACAAATGAATATACAACCCTTGGAATTTATGAATTATCCGTACTTCTCACGTCCTATTAAATACGACGTACAAAACTATCATCGTGTCATTCGTCAAAAGACTCCCTCGTTCAATCATCGATGTGCCTGTTATTGCTAACGCCTGTTATTGCTAGAATTACTAATGGAATTTTGCATAGACGTCTCGTGACTTCTTGTGACATCTAGCAAGTAGACAACGATTGGCCACTTGCCACAACAGAACGAGCTGCTTAATGTTGCATTCTAAAGATTTATTATAGCGTAATAATAAGATTACTCAAGAAACGATAGATGTGTCTTTGTGTAAGAAGACAATTTTCATTTGCCTAATAATTCTGACATGAACAAAGAAATGGGAACTAAGTTGAATATATGGGATAAGGTAAAGAGCGGAAATAATATATATCAATTTATTAGGTTTACCTTTTATGGGGGTATATAAAGTTAATATAAAATGTAAAAAAATATAAATCTCTTATAAATAAAATTATCTATACTCATAATAATTGGGTGTATTAAAATTTGATTAAAATTTGGAACAGTATAAATTTTATAAAATATAAAAAAAGAGTACATTAAAATTTTATAAATTAAAATTATTTACGCGCATAACAGATGGGTTCAATAAATTTATTATAAATTGTGAGAAAATATAAATCTCATAAGGTTAGAAATTATCTGACTGAAAATTAAACGTAAGCAAAGAGGGAACATTCGTTGACGTCGCCATAAAGCAAACTCTAACCGCGGATCGAACCGCAAAAGATTCTTTACCGAAACGTGAAACGCACGCTCCCACTTTGACTGCAGTGGAAAAAAGGAATAAATAAGTTTGAGGGCACGAAAAGTTTTTTGTTCCTCGATCGAATATATTTCGGTACCACTGTCATCGCGTATCCCAGATGCGAGCTCTGCTACAAACACACGTGCACACCCATACACCAATCCAACGTGTACAAGCGAGATATATTTTGCACGGATATATTTTAGGTAGGCGCAGGGAGGGTTATAGAAACGGGAGAACGAAGATAGAAAATAGAAAGGAGGAAGGAATAAATAAAAGTCTTTCTCTTAAATATAGTCGATACTTATAAGTACTTTTTTGTTAAAACTACACACATTTTTCTTTTTTTTTTCTTATCTTATTAAATGCAAAGACAAATTTTTCTTGTCCGCAGAAATTGTTATTCACATCATGTAATAATTTTGATCATTAATAATATATCTAGTATATTAAAAAAAAATGTCGTTCGTATCATCAATCAAAGTATGTTTCATGTTACAAATAAAAAAGCAATAATTTGTTTAACCCTTAAAGTGCACACTTGGTAAAAGTTGGTTAAAGTGCTCTGTGGGTGTTTGACACCCCAACGTGTTTGAACGCGTCTCCTGAAGCCGCTATTTAATATTTAAACCTCGAAATTTTTTTAAAAGTAGTTTTATACATCTTTTTAAAAATATAATAGGTTTTATACCCATCTGAATCAACACTATATGGCGACAAATAACCAATTTTTTCGAATTCAGTACCGTTTTCGAGAGATCAAAAATTCGTTGGGGTGTCAAACATCCCATGTGCACTTTAAGGGTTAGCCCGTAAAACACGATATTTTCTATAATAATAAATTTTACACGTGACGAGTGTTATTTTGAACTCTTCTTCCAAACCAAACACATACGATAAATGAATTGGCGCCTGAATATGACACCTTCGAAGTATGCCAATATTACATGCGAACAAAGACTTTTATATTTATAAATTATTAAAACGTCTACGATCTTGATTTTTTTAATCAGCATAAACAAAAAATCGATTAAAGCTACGTTTCATGTGAAAATGAAAGTAAACAATTTTGAACGAAATTAGAAGAAGCCGAACTAATAATCACCGACAACACATGCGAACGAATGAACTAGCGTGAAAACGAAATCAAAAATTCGTTTCTATAAAAGCATAAGTAATATACCGACAAAGGGGCAAACAGGGCTCCGATAATTAGCGAGTTAGATGGTAGACAAACACCGGCCGCGTTTTGAGCATCCATATAAGCGGGGACATATGTTCAACGGGTGACACTGACATCCATCACGCAAGATCGTTCACGCCCATTTCTCCTACACCCTTCGTATTTTCATTTTTTTTACCTATGCCTATACTCTTACCCTCTCTTTTTCAATTTTACATTTTCTTATTATTAATTTTATTTTATTTAACATATTGATTATATTTCAAATTACTAACTTTATCTTATAATTATAGATACTACAATATTTATTTTTAAAAATTCTAAAATAATTTATAAATTAGATATTATCATACATATTAGGTATTTTAATTATTCATTAAATGTATGATTTAGATCAAGAAATAATATTTTCAATAACAAAAATATATAAATTACTAAAAATATATTTAATTAATGTATCTACATAAAATATTCTATACTATGAATTAATATTACATATCACACATATTTTTCATATATATAATATATCACAAAAAATATAAATTATATCAAACAGACCATTTAATGATAATCACAAATCTACGATAATTAAACGCTAAATATATTTCATTATACAAAGATAAAATTCAAAGCCGATAAACTATGCTAGAGATAACGGATGTACCTGAACAAATTCGTTGTAGAAGATCGAGTGAGCGCATCATGCGAATGCGTTCTATGGAAGCCCGAGTTAGACTTATTTCGCACGAATATGCACAAACATTTAGTATTGAAACGTAAGTGTGCATGTGTGTGTGTCTTGTCACGGGGGTAGAAATCATCTCATCCTAACGCTGAACTATACTAACAAATACACACACTTTCACTCATATACATAAGCGAGAACACACATTCTCGCATACACACACATGTACAAATACACATGAACACAGACGATCGCATAATATTATTAGACTTTTTCTGGCGAGCGGTGATGAATGGTCGTGCTCAAAGGATCCGACGCGTGTAGTCATTTTACACTCGTGTAATACACGTATGTTTGACTTAAGAAGGCTACGACTTAACTCTTCTTAAATGTGTGAGTAAACGCATATCGAGATGAAGAAGGAAGAGATGCGAGAAGACTTTTAACGACAATACGTCACGTTTTTTAATTATTTTCCTTTTTTCTCTCGCTCTTTTCTTTTTTTTTTTTTTAATTTAAAGTACTTTCATTTAAAATAATTTATATAAAGTAATAATATATAAAATTGTGGGTTGAAGAAACGAGAGTAGACGGATATACGAGAATGAGTGTAGAAGGAAAAAACGTTCAAATCAAAGAAATTATAGCGTCCAGAAGGTCAGGGTAATGATAAATAGGTTAATCTATAAGAAAATTGTAGACAACATTTAGTTTCATGAAAAAATCAGCTAAAAATAAAGTATAATCTAAAATATAATTTTATGATATGAAGTAGAGAAAGATAAAGAAGTACAAGAACCACAATCTTTAGATAAAATATAAAACAAAAAACAAAGACCACAGATGATTCTCGTGGTCCCATTGACAAAACAAACGTCAGTCAAGAATAATAAGAATGGCACAGTTAACGTGTGTTAACTAATTTCAATAAAATATTTATAAATTTCAAAAATTATAAAATACTATCGAAAATTATCATAACAATTTTTGAAGACTTCATTTTATAAATCTAATAAATAAAACAACTGAAAATAATAACACGAACATTTAGAAATTTGTGCAAGTCACCATAAAGACAATCGGAATGGTCTCGTATAGAAGAAGAAATAAAAAAATAAATAAATAAAAAAAAAAGAGAGAGAGAGGAATACGGTCCAGTAACACAGCATCCCGACGGTAGAGGGGAATCACTCAGCGCGTTTAATGTACCGTGAGTTGCTTTACGGAGATTCAAGATCGTCATTAAAGACGAGGGCCAAAAGAGTTGGTAGAAAAAAATGACGATGCAGTTGACGCGCAAAAACGGTCTTCTCAACCTACTCCCATTCCACCGTCCTCCCGCTCATAACCTCCTATAGTTCCCCTCTTCTACCCTGAACTCTACCCAACCCTACCCTCTGACCCTCAGCAGCTTCGAGAGCTCCATCCTCAGACGAAACTCTTCTTCCAGGAATAAGAGGAGGCACCCAAAAAGGGTTCCCTTTACGTCGACCTTTTCTTATTTATCGTATCCTCTTCAAGAGTTTACCCAAAAGTCGCCTTAGATTTCCTGATATTTAAGGGAAAAGCATATTCATTTGATTTGATTTTGACAAATATTTTAATAGTTCAAAATGAAATAAAAAAAAAATAATAGGGTTTTGATAAAATTGACAAATTTAAAAAATAAAAAACATTTTTCTTTATAACAAGTGTGTATACTTATGTATTTTGGTATATATGTACTTATATTTAAGTATCTACACATAAGAAAAATAATAAATATGATAGCCAACGGTAAGAGCAAATAATAAACGTAAAATAGACATAAATATAGCAATAAATGTCTACATAAAATATACGCATGTTAATAATTCTCTTTCGTTCGGTACCGACGTTTATTAACAAAATAAAATATTTCTATAGATCTGAGAATGTTAATTGAAATTTTCTTAATGGTATGAATAAGTTCATGAAATTTAAGGAATGAATTTACAAATGGAGTTAAATTTGAGGCGCCATTGGTACGCGCGCGCGCGGGGGCTCATTATATTAAAATTATAAATTCGTAAGGTTAAACGTGAATAGAAGATACTTATGTGGAAAATCGGGAGAACATGTGTCACTTGTTTTCGACGTAATTGGAACGTGTGTGTCTAAGAGAAAAAGAGAAAGAGAAACAGTGAAGATTTTCTGGGTTTAAAGATAGAGCTTCCTGCCGTTCTTATGCACGACAGATCGCCATGCGTTCGGTTAATCAGGAGAAATAGAATTTTCGGTGGATTTGGAATGCTAGTAGGGACGATTCTCTGGTACGTGGGGGTAACCGTTTGCTAATTAAGCTTTACGGTAAGATGATACGGACTAACGCGAGTCTCCTACGGTTCTCAGTTACCTCATTGCCAAACGTTCTACATCTGCATCTCATTAAAACGAGTAATCATGGTAGAAGGTATAATAATCAGGATAAGAATGTAAATAAGTATACCATTATCTCTGTAATTTATTGTTCTTCTTATCGATCTCGAAACATATAACAGATAACTAAACGAATAAGATTAAAATGATGTCAAGAAACACAAGGGGGAGGATTAGAAACGAAATTAGACATTTTAACGATCTATCTCAGATAATCATTGACATTTTTTTAGGAAAAAAAAAAGAAGAATTTCATATTTTTTTTCTTTTTTAGAAATGACTTGATTTATTTTAGGGTAGTTATTTGTTTTTTTTATTTAAATTTGATTTTCCTTTGAGTAACCGACAAATGATTAATCACTTTCAGGATACGATTAGTTTTTTAATGTTAAGCAAAAAGCGACTACCATCCTTAACCGGGTTCGTTGATGGATCGTTGAATTTTCCTTCTAGAAATGAATTCGCTTAGTTATCGAGACAATCAAAAGAAATCGACATTAAAGTCGGCTCTCCTCATGAATAGAACCGTTGATAAGTGCGAAGGAAATGAGTGTATATAACGTTTAACGAACAAGAAGCATTCATTATTTTCTCTTTTTGAATGAAACTTAAAAAGCCTATCGGAGAAATATCATCTATCTTACTAATATGTTACACATATAATATTTACATATAGGTAATACTTTAAATAAAATAATACTTATATCATAAACATATAATAAACTGTCTTTCTTAATGACAGAAAGCAGCGCTGGCGAGATCGGAACTCAACAGCAACAGCAGCACCAACACCAACACCAACATCAACATCAGCACCAACATCATCACCCTCATCAACAACAACAACAACAACAACAACAGCAACAACAACAACAGCAACAGCAATATGGCGAGGTGAACCAATTGGGTGGGGTGTTTGTAAACGGTAGACCATTACCAAACGCAGTACGTTTGAGAATAGTCGAATTAGCACAATTGGGAATCAGGCCGTGTGATATTTCACGACAGTTACGTGTCAGTCATGGATGCGTCAGTAAAATCCTTGCACGTTACCATGAAACCGGAAGTATATTGCCTGGTGCGATCGGTGGTAGCAAGCCACGTGTCACCACACCGAAAGTCGTGCAATATATAAAGCAATTAAAACTTAAGGACCCTGGTATATTTGCTTGGGAAATAAGAGACCGTTTACTGTCCGACGGTGTCTGCGATAAATACAACGTGCCATCGGTTTCAAGCATATCGAGGATACTACGCAACAAGGTTGGTGCTACCACGACGATGCATCATCATCCGCATCATCCTGCCCATCATCATCATCATCATCTTTATGCGGCCGCTGCTGCTGCTGCTGGTGCAGCACTTTGTCCAGTACCGTATCCACCAGCACCGTATCACGCTACACCTTCACCAACCCATCATCATCATCATCACCATCAAGGTTGGTATATTATCACAATTCGCTGAATCTTTTTCTTTTATTTTTTTCTTCTATACGCCAAAGTTTCCATTATCGTCTGAAGTATTTATATTCCGAGCTCTTATTATCCACTTGATCGAGTGGGTATTTGACTAACATAAGTAGTTAGCAAATCAGTCTGATCCAAACGCCAGTGATTAATTACATAGGAAAGTAGAGATATTAATAATTTCGTAAGTAAGTAAGTACCCATCTAGTCGATTTATCAATTTTAAATAAGAGCTCTTACTTGGTTGATACTTAAATACAGATTTACGCGAATTAGAAATGCACTTTCACGACATTTCATCAATTAATATGATAAATGTAAATAATATCTACGGTGATTTTAAAAGTATTTAAAAATGAAAGAAAATTACAAGAAGATTTAACCGTTTAATTAGGACGTGAGCGAATGATTAAAACGACATGCGTCCATCGCAAACCTGTAGTATACATTCAGTTCTAGCAGTGAGCTCACGGGATGTCAGGCAACAGTCTCATCTCTTTCTTCCGTCCTGATAGAAGCGCGGCCTATTCATATACGAAACGAACCTCCTACCAATTTGGTACCGCTGCGTTTCCAGTTGGTACGTCAACGGCGGTCAAGCTGTCCACGTCATCGTCAGCGTCCTTGATATACAACAGTGGTGAGATCCAAGCAATAGCAGCTACAACCGCAACGTTGACAACACTATCAACAATAGTAACAACAACTGCAGCGACGACAACGACGACGACTACGACAGCAACGATGACGGTAGCAGCAGCTGCAGCAACAGCTGGTATTCTTCAGTGGCCAAGTCCTCACACTGTCCAGGATATTTTATCGAATGGCATGTCAACCAATAATTTCTCTTTACTTGATTCACCTCATTGCACAAGCATTCTTTTCAACAATAACAATAATCACATTACCAACAACATCAACAACAACAACAACAATGTTAACTACCACGATCTTTCTCATCGTCATCATAATCATCATCATCATCATCACCATCATCATCATCAACAGCTAAATAATCAATTGCATCATCGACATAACAATGACGGTACCTCAACTACTAGCAACTGCAATGCTAATAATAACGACGATAGCAATAACGGTAGTAGTAATGCCAGTTGCGATAGCCTCTGCAATAATAATGATAATAATAGTAATAATAATAGTAATAATAATAATAATAATAATAATAATAATAATAATAATACCAGAGAAACAATACCGAGTGGATACCAAAGTCTCTCTTATCAAGCACATCATCATCATCATCACTATCATCACCATCACCATCAACAACAGCAGTATTACGCTTCCGCTCTTTACCACCATCATCACCATCATCATCATCATCCGGACAACCTGAGACCGCATGCGACCGGGTCGCCCGTTCTCTCATCGGTTCTCTCGGTCCAACCAATAATGATGCAATTATCGAGTGGTCAATCTGCCAGTCCGTGTAATTAAAATCCGATCAATAAACGACATCTCATATGTTCATCATTGATCGATCATTTGTGTGTGTTCGTCTGATTATTATTCAATTAAAACAATCTGGAGTTGTGTGAATTTTGTGAAGAAAAAAACGAAACAGTGCCTTTCATAAATTCGATTCTATGACTCGTAATCGAATAAATTAACGAACCCAATTTGGAAGTACATTATAAGTATTCTAAATACCAAAGACTATTTCTATCTCTTTCTTTCATTCTATCTTCCTTCCTACCAAATTATTTGCGCAAATGAACGGAGTGATATTTTAGTGAAGTGCATTCATTATTTACATGCATGCAAAAACTAAGAGATCGTCACATTTATAGCAAATTTTGTTATTACAAATGGTAGTTATACAATAACGAAAAAAAGAAGATCTTGGAAAAAAATGTGTTACATCTCTGGTGAAAGTGTTACAATGTTATTTGTTATTAAAAATGGAAAATCTTTTTCTTTTTTTCCTGGATTATTTTGAAAACATATAAACGTCATTTTTATTGCATTCTCTTTGTCTCATTAGTAGCCGTTGAGAAAACATTTTCAATAAATTCAGCGGCCGGTACGTTGTTTAAACGTTCGTTCAATAAGATCTTTAATGTTTGTTGGAAACAAATATTAACAGTTTATTGTCATCCATACGAGATTATCTATAAAATACATATTACAAGTAAATATGTATGCTTGTTGGTAAGGTAAGAAAAAAATTTGTGTTTTAAACGTAATCGAAATAATTTCGTAATTGGCATATAAACGTGATATTTGTAAAATCAAAATGAATTATTATATATATATATATATATATATATATATATTTTTCTTTCAATAAATAACTTAATGTGCCTAAATATATTACATATATCACATTTCTATGTAAAAGAAGAATCATTGAGAAAGTATTAACTTCGTGTCAACGAGCAATTCATATCACGTCGTGCGTACATATACACACGTATTACCAGTATTTAACATATTTGAGTTGATGATTAATACCAAAAAATCAGTACGCGACATAATGTGTTATTTTAATAAATATATGATGTTCAATTATTACAAAAGAACTATGTACTTCATTATTTTTTTCTTCCATTTATATAATATATATTTTGTTTAGCTTTTTAGTATAATATATATTTATGCATATATTATATTCCTTAAAATCGTAAAAATAAATTTGGAAAATTTCGAAGAAGAGAGATACGCCATGCATAAAATTCACGCGCAATGATTCTGTAACTCCGAATGAGCTGACGAAAAGGGGATTAACCTTTCGTATATACAAAGATTATAAAAGCGAAGAAGCTCCTACTTCGTCCAATCAGAAGCGATCGAGCGTGAAATCCCACCTCTTCGACGAAGTTAAACACCCACTCTTGGCGGACTTTGCTTGGAAGGCTGCAAACAGAACAACCAATCACAATTCATCTCTCTAACAGGTAGGTATTTAAATAAGATGTAGCTTTTTCTGCGAAGTAAAAGGAATCGTTATTAAGATGAATCTAAAATTAACATAAAGCTAAATAATATTGTTTTATTGAATACTAGAATATTAATCAAAGGATAATATTGAAATAACCCGTGCAATCCTTTGTAAAATGAATCCCTGTCATTCCTCATACAAATTTAACTTAAAAGCGTAACAGCAGCAAAGATGCTTCCGCGTAAAAGGGGGATTCGTCCGTCCTTTAGAGTAAAGTCAATTCTATGTATACCTACAACGTTATATGTTCTTTTCTTTTTTGTACATTTAGACACACATAATATAACGAAGGCCAGTCGGAACGGCGTTAGAAGCAGTCCCTTTGAAATTTGAACGTTCGTTCCTACTCCGCCCACAGTATTCTATTATACTAGTTTAAAAGGAACGACGGGAGCACGAAATTAAATGAGAACTCGTTACTATTATGCGTTCTTGAGAAAACCATCATATCGGCGTGTTTTGATTTCTTTTTTCTCGTTTTCTCATTATTTTTTATCAAAAACTTGAACTAAACGAAATTCTCCTTCGATCTATGAGGAAAAAGGCAGCCATCTTTTTGGCGCGAATTTTCAACTAACCGTTTTTGATAAATAAGAAATAATAACAATCGTGAAATAAATATGCTCGTTCCTCTTTTATGCTAGCGAGATCCTTAAAATACAGGCGCAATATCTTTTCCTCGTGATGTTTCTTCTTACGGTACGACGCCACCGTGGAAGCGTTTCGCTCGATTAGGAACTGCGCCATGATGGAAATGCGCTAATATAAATTGCCGAAACTAAGAAGGTTCTCCCTGTCTCCTTCACTTGCGGTGACGGGCGTTCACCGAACCTTTAATTTATAATTAGAATGAAAGTTCTCGAAAACCGACGAAATTAAAAAAAACAATCATTATTTTTAATATTAGTAGAAATTCATTCATAAACCCATTTGTATAGGATCTTCATGGAAAGAAGCAATTATTTTAAATGCTTAGATATAAACTGTTATATTATTTGGATCGATGGTTTTAATATCAAATAAATACCTGAAAATCGGAACTTTAATATTTGGTTTTTAATTTCTCCATTGTTGAAATTTAATTTTTTCTGAAATCTCCATAAATGTGTGTGTGATCCATTTTTATAAATCTTACTTCTGTACCTTAAAAATCTGTAATAAAAACTTACAGCGAATGAACTTTAAATAATGTTCAATTTAAATTGTACCATGTAATCTAATAATTCTCTCATTTTTCAAAAATTGTTCAATACAAATTACTATCAACATATATAATATAACAACATTCATATAAATAAAATCATTTAAAAATATTGCATCTTTTAATAAAAATCCTATAAATATTGTTCTAATAAATACCATATAAATTTCAAATATTAAATGCTTTTTCGAAACGCCCTGTATGTTGCTATTTTGCATACCAGTCTCTAAGAGAGTCATAAGAATAAGAAAGAAAGAGAAATAGAAAGAGAGAAAGAGAGAGGGTTGCAGAAGAGGAAGGCGGAGCGCATAATTAAGAAAGTCTCAGTGCTCTCTCATTTTCTCTCTTTCTCTCCTATGAAAAAAGACGAAGACATTGAGTTCCCTCTTGCGGTGGTAGGAAAGCGGCCTGCCTCTTTCCCCGTTTTACATTCGGCGGTACAAATAGCTCGACGACCCCTGGCCTCGTGTCGGCTCCTCTCATGTTTCTTCCTCAGAGTGCTTGTCCCTCTTGTCGCGCACGCTTCACGCTTCTGCGCGCCTACACCCTTCCTTGTCTCCTCTCTCTTTCTTTCTTTCTGTTTCTCTTATGTACACCCTTTCTTCTTTTAATCCGTCGTCGACGACGACGAACGCCGACACCGATGCTGCCGACGACGATGACGACGATGACGACGGCGACGTCGACTTTTGAATCTCTACTTCCTTTTCTTTTCCCTTTTCTTGTATGCCGAAGAGTTGCCTGGCGGAGACACATTAGCCATATTCCAAGTTTGCATGGCGGAACACCTTCCCCTCTCCCTCTTCCTTCCTCCTCCTCTTCTTTACCCCTTTTCCCTCTTTTCCATACCATCCCCACCCTATTCTTTGCACAGTTATTATGAGGATGGATTGAGGTGGGAGTCGCCTTCCACGTATCCGTAGAGACCTAATGCCATCGACTTCTAAATTGTGTAAATTACTAAATGAATGTGAAACGTTTAACTCCCACCACCTTATCCCCCTCTTCTTCTCTTTCTTTCTTTCTTTCATACTTTGAAAGCAACCTTGCCTTCTCCTTCATTTCCTTCCTTCACAGAGAAACCTTCTAACATAAGTAATCGACACACAGGACGCACACTTTTCGTTTGATATGCTTTACGTTTCCCTTTGATCATACAATTGTCTCGTTTTTCAAGCTCTCCTCGAGTAAGTTTTCTTAATGCTTCATACTTCTTCGTAGAAAATGTTTAGTTTTGACGAATAGAGTTTAATTCATTTATTCGACAATTTTTCTTCATTTCTTCTTATCTTTCTTACCTTCTTTTTATCGTCTTCCTTTTGTTTTCTTTAGTTCTTGTATTTTCACAAAACGTACATTAATTCAAACAAGTATATACATTTATGTTTATACAAAGAGTATAAAAATTGTGTCATTAAAATCATAAAATCTAATGAAAACTTTTATTCGCGTCCCTACTTATCCTTACAGACGTTTAGAAATGTTTATTTATATAAAGTTGTATATATATATATATATATCTTATGAAATATAATTATAATGAAAAGAGAAAACAATATGAGAATATACAAGAGGAGAATTTTACTGTATCAAGAATTCATGTTATACAATCATGCTGAAGAAGTTTCTTTTTTCTTTTTTGTTTTTGTTTACTGATAATAGAAAAAAGTGTACAGTCTTTGAGCTATCTCTTATTTCTATTATTTTTACTCTTTTAATATTGTTCTTTTTTTTTCTTTTTTACAATTTATATTCCTTCCAATATTGCGAACATTAAAGAGAAAAAAAAGAAAGCAGGTAGTCAAAGTTTAAATCAACCAAGACTGCAATCACTCTTTTCTTATTTTATATTCGAACAATTTAGTTGGGTTAATTCACGCTTAGATGGTCCAAACCTACAGCTGGATTTATTACAGAATATATTGCACGCATTATTGCTTACCTTATATTCTGATAAACACGTAATTATATTCTCATCGGTTTAAATACTTCGCATAATAAAGACAATATAATGTTCATGAATATAAAAAAAAATACCCCACTAGCTTCGCTATAAAGAAAAATGACTAAATTTATACACCTTAATTATACATTAACAAGTAAAAAATTATTAAATTTTGTTTATTCGATTTATAGAAAATGAAACATTACCAATAACTATTTTTGTCTTTTTTTATTTTTCACATATTTTGTGAGAATAGAATTTGTATTTATATATTAATTTGAAAATAATTGATTATTATTTAATTTAAAGAAGAATTTGAAATTTTCAGATTGTAAGATATCCAAAATAATAAAAAATAAAGATTTACATCCGATCCCGTTGTTAATATTTTTATGAAGTAGATTAAAAATTCTAAAAGTAGATTTTTGTTTGTTTGTTATTTTCACAAGAATAATAGAATAGTGATATTTTCACAGAAAAATTATCTTTGAACATTACTTCAGTATCAATGCTATTTCTTTTCTTTTCTTTTGATTCGAGAGATAAAACCACGTGTGTTTTATTAAAAAATATTAAATAAAAAAGCTCTCTAATCTCTTGACAGGACCATCTAATGTACGTTATATGTACAAACTGATTATCAATACTTAATGCTAGCCATTGTTTTCGTCCTTTTTGATTTGGTCCACTTGCTTATCATCGTCTTTCTCAACCGCATTCTCAACATTATCTTCATCCTTTTCCATCTTAATTGATACATCTATATCATCAATTTTTGTTGGTTCTACATTATTGTCTGGATTAGGATCACGATTTTCTTCACCTTCTTCTACAGTTTGAGACACCTCTTCAGGTGCAGCCAATACTGTGTTATTATCAAAGTTTTGTTGTTGTTTTCCCAAACCTATTTGCGTTTCTATTAGCTCTAATTCCTCAAGCAATACTTTTTCCCTTCTGTCAATATCCTCTATAGTAAATTTAATAAAAAAAAAAGAAAAATTATCATAAGAAAAACAATAAAAAATATATTTACAATATAAATATATGCAAATACAAACCATGAAGATCCTTAGCAGATTGAATAAGTAAACTTTCAGTTTGAGAATTTTTTCGTTTTGGTATATAATATATAGAAGGTTGGGTACGCGTCTTTATAAAAGAAGCAAGTGATAGTTGCGCAGCACGCCAATCTTGGAACTGTCGACTTCGTGCTAACTTAGCTTCTAATGCTCGTACTTCTGCTAATTGTCGTTTACGCGATAAAAATAATTGTTGTCTTTCTCGTCGTAACTCTTCTTTTTCTCTTCTCCGTGCTTCTTCCACTCGTGCCTCTACTTCTGCTTTTTTGTCTTCCTACAATTATATTTAAAAAAAAAAACCTTTAATTCTAGAAATTAATATAATTTATTTGTGTTTTATTAAGTACCTTAGCTTTTAATTTGGTTTCTTCTAATCTGAATTTTTGCAAAGTACCCAAAAGTGCACCGAACATTCGCTTATTCCTTTGTCGACTACGCTCATCTATTCTTTCTCTTCTGATTACTTCTTGACGAGAAGGAATTTCTCTTGGCGTAGCAATAACTCTCGATGACACAGCTGGCTATAATAAGAGGATGTAAAGATGTATAATGTTATAAGAAACGACAACTATTTAATGTTATTTATTATTTTAGAAAAGAATAATATTACCTTAATGGCAGTGTCATCTTCATCCGCACTGTCATCAGCAGTTGAAGGAACTCGTGCACTCAAACGACTAAATACCGTTTTTGGTTCCCCATTAGAAGCCTGCCAACGCCTTTTTGTACCCGGTATTTCATTATTTACGAAATCTGATACGACTCGTCGACGATCTTCCTGCAATGGTCGCTTTTGGGAAAGTCTGCTAATAATACAACTAATTATTACATTTTAATATTCTAAAAATTTATGAAGGGAGCCAACTTTATTGCACCAATATTTTTAATTATTCATTTCATTTAGTTGTTAAAATCTGAAGAGAAATTAAATTAATAGTTAATACTTATAAATATCATTGGTATATTTAGGTTATGTTTCCAAACACATATTGCAAGTGTAATCTTGAATTATAAAGAAAGATTTTAGTTAGAAATAAAATGTGCATTAAATTAACACCAGTCATAATTTCATATTTGAAAAAATAAATATTTGGGTATGTTTAACCTGGAAGTGGGGTGTAGTGGTCCGTTTTCACCGTCAGGTAGGTCCCGGCCCAAAATTTTTCTAATACTTCGATCAAGACCTTTTAGTCCATCTCGAGCAGCCTCCAATTCAGCTTCTAAACGATCGGCACCCCACGATTCTTGTAAATCTAGCTTCCTCATTTAAGAAATATTAATATACTTAGCGTTACTGTAAAAAGAAATCATTTAATTAATAACGTAGAACACGAATTTGTTGTTATATAGCATTACTGAAGGAGGGAGCCACTTACAATTCTTATCCTTCGTCAGATCAATAACAGTTCGAACTTTTCTTGATAGTGGCAATGTTGAAAATGATAATCCCAATGTATAATGTTATAACAAAATATTAAATAAACTTTTCAATATCTGAATATCTCAAACTAATTTTTATGTAACCATTAATTAATTCCTCAAAAATTATTCATTTTATTGGTTGTACTTTGCGTCATTGTTTGCTATTGGTTGTCAGAAAATTTGTTTAATAGGTTATGCTCAACATGATGTTAATTAATTACTCTTACTTATATAAATATTAGATTGTTTTAAAAATAAGCATAAATACAATAATAAAAAGGACCATTTTATTTACTTGTGTAATAATATTTATCGATAAATCGAATTGATATTTTTTCTAATTGTTATTGCGCATGCTTAATGGTTATATCAATGACAAGTAGTGACACGTAGTGACAGTTCGATCAATTAGATATTACAGTTCATGTATAGTATATTTGCACATATTTTTCATTCATTAAAATAGAATGTAAGAAAATTCGATATTATTTAATAGACATTAGTTTTATATTATTTAAATTGTACTTATATTAACTTATAAAGTTTATTATATTTTTTACAAAAGTATTTAATAAATCCGTTTAATTGTACTATTTATTACGTAAGATTAAATATGTAGAGATGTAATAATTTACATTTTTATTTCTTATAAATTATAAGAAAAGAAAATCATGTTATCATAAACAAATTTTGTTACTTATATCGTTTGAATTTTTTTAATTTTATAAATATTAATATTTAATGACATTAATCCGTTTTAGATAAAAATGTTGAGGTTACGTCTTTCTGTAAATGCTCCAAAAATATTTAAACGTAATGTGGGAATATTAGCACCTGCTCTTCAGAAAGCAACTGATCCCATCCAACAACTATTTATAGATAAAATTCGTGAATATGCTAATAAGAGTCAGTAAGTGTTACGTATTAATTATTATTAATTTCATTTATTTCTCGTACTTAGTTCGATTCTTTATTATGTATGAAATGAAGTTACTGGATTGATATTTTTGATTCTAATTACAGGGGTGGAAAATTAGTTGACCCGACTCCAGATATTGAAAAGGAAAGAAAATCTGAATTAGAAAAACTCGCTAATCAGTTTGGTTGCGCTCCTGGTACAAAAATGTCCGACTTCCCATCATTCAGTTTTACTGGTACGTTGTGCATTCCAATTATTCGTTTAAATTTTTAAATATTTTTGTATGAATGAATGATATACTATTTAATAAGTTTATATATTTGTTTTAGATCCACCAATAGATTCAGGTGTATCAAAAAGTTAAATATACTAATATGATTTTGAAGTAGAAAATATATGTATAAAATCATTCAATATTTTAAAATTTTCATTGTAAAAATATATATACATAATAAATAAATAATTTAAGAAAACTTGAATTCTCATAAATTTTATTATAATAGAATTATAAACATATAAAAAAAAATCTTACTTAATATTAACCATCGTTCGGTAAGAGTCCTGTTCTGCTAACCATTTCTTCTAAAATACTCATTTGACATTTATTAGCTATGGACTTACATTTTTGTGCATATTGCGCGATTTCTTTTACATGCACCAATGCTTTATAATCGCCACCGCAAGTGCAACGTTCATCCATATTTCCTCTCTTAATTTCAAGGCATTTGCTACATTGTAAATCTTGTAGTATGTATGCCATACTCTTGCGATTGAATGTATTTATTAATAAAAATTCGATTTCTTTATTATCATAAACTGTTTCACATAGAGGGCATTTCCACATGTACCTAGTATGACAATAAAAAATATTACTTATTTATTTTTTAACACTAAACGCACTGTTGCTTCATGTATACCTATTTCTATCACAATGGATCAAATGACCATTGATCAAATGACCAATCTTCATATGAGTTTATATTACAATGTACGTATAATAAAAAATATACCATTTATACAATAGAAATTCTTAACTTACAAAATAGCACTATAATTTATAAGAAATTCTGCCAAAAAATTTTTTAAAAAGTCATTTAACCCATTGTGTGGTAGGTTCAGTGTTAAATATTATAATATTGTAATATAATTATAATATTATGCGATAATATAATTATACTTACTTATTATCTTCTACGTAAACATAAGTATCTTTGCAAAGATCAATATCCCTAGTATGATTACATCCTTTGCAGATAATCTCAGGTAATACCATAGATATGCACGGGTCTTTCCATTGAACTTCGTCACTGAAACTATTCACTCTTATTAATCTTAATAAGTTTGTTTGCAAATCGTATACTTCGTTCTCAAGTTCTTTGTCCAAAGATAAAACCTATGATTAAAAATTTGAATGTAAACTTTGATTTATTTTGTATATTATGTGTACTAAAATGAATATCAGATATATAAAATAAAAATAGTACCTTGCATACAGATTTTGTTAATTCAAGTGCTGGATTGATTGTTTTGCTATCTTTACCATCCAAATTTAAATCAGGATATTCTCGAGACGTTAATACTTTCTCTGGCATTTTTTTATATATTTTCTGTACAATCCTATAAAAATATAATACTATAAACATTAATATCACGTATACCAAACATTTTAATTAAATATAAAATATTTACTGAAAGAGTTTTTGAGACATTTCTCCTGAAATAAGTTTTTTAGCAAATCCTGCTGTACTTTCCAATGCTCCAAGTCCAAGCGGTGCAGTAAAATCTTGACTACAATTCTTTTTTCTGTGTAAAAGAGTATCAGATGTTTCTTCATTTTTACATATATGTTGATAAGTAGCACTTATATATCCAGCAATAATTGCATTAAAAGTACTTTGACAAGCTGCTTCTTTAGGTAAATAAGATGCTAAGTTCCAATTCATTACAATTTCAGGCTAAACATGTCATTAACGATAGAATTATTAATTTAAATGTCATCAATCTAACTGAAATTTAAAAATTGAAACTTACTGCGTCATTATCATTATCATTATCAGCAATAGAATTACTTGGAGTACAATTTTCTTCCCCATGATTATTGTCATCAGTTTGTGTAGTACTTTCATCAGTAATTTTTGGCATCTTTCCTTTTATACCAGCATAATTATACTGTTTGTACATAAAAAAGATATTTAATGAAGATATATATTTTATTTCATGAATTATATGATATAAAAAATAACTTACAAAATCTAACCAAATTAAGTACTCCCAACATTGTTCAGAAGTCATTTCAATGCTATGAAAAAGTTCTTTGTCACGTATGGTAGTAACAACAAATTCTATATATCCCAATGCGTCTGATAATGTTCTTTTTTTTGTACATACAACAATTTTATTAAAATTAGCGAATACAATGATACAACCAAGATTCTTAAACGCAGCTATCAATTGTATAAACAATTTTCTCATATAATTGCATAATGTACGATGTAATGCAGGATCATATAACAATGCATTAGTTGAGCGCAACCACCTGAAATATTTAAAAAACAATTAAAATGTTTTAGCTTAAAAATTGAATTTTAAAATGAAGTCAATAAGATTATTAATTACCTATAGAAATGTATTATTTGATAATCAGCAAAGATATTTTTATAAATTGTTACATCTCGCAACCACGCGTTCACCATAATCTGTAATATTTTAAAAGCTGGACTACATAGAGTAGTTTCATCGTAACTTGGAATCATGGCAGATGGATTATCACCTGTTACCATTTCCTAATAATTATAAAAAAAGTTAAATTTAAATATAATAGACTAAACAAATATGAATCATAATGTTAATACCTGTAGTGATGCTTTTTGTATGTTGTTGAATGCAACAAATGTATTAGTACCATCAATAACATGAACATTATGATGTTGCAACAAAGTGTTCACCGCAAGACTCTCTACATCTAATTCTACACATACACTAGAATACGTAGCTGGATTATTAATAACGCAACTTGTAACTTCTTCAAAGGAACTCAGTAGTCTGTAATTTTTTGTTTATTTTTATTTTATTAATGTCCACAATATTTATATTTATTAATTATAAAATAAAGAAGATTACCTGCTGTCGTCATTTTCGTTACCACCAAGGTCAGGCTTCTCAGTTGGAGAACACCACAATACAAAATTATTCTTCTGTAAATGTCTAGCATAAAATAAATCTGCTCCAAAAAGAGTTGGATCAGCTGGTACGTTTCCAATAGGAACATGAAAGAATCTGCATTGTTCTATCATTAATTCTAATATTTGTTGAATTTTCAGATAATGTCTAATCATCATTTTGGCACCCAATTTTTGCCACTCCATTGTGTTGTATAAATTTTCAACATCACGTACATGTGTATTAATTAATGGAAATTCATGGAGCAAAGGCATTTCAGAAGTTAGAGTTGTTCTATCTGTAAACAGGTCATAAATAATTAAATAATATTTACTAATAAATAATACCTTTAAAAAAAAGATAAAATAGTAAATTACTACTTACCTATCGATGTTTGCAAAATTATAATAGTATTACCATGTTTTTCATTTTTATATGCTTGTAATGACGCTTGCAATACTCTGTACACTTGTTGCAAATTAGTTTCTACTTTAACTATAAATTTCATTCCATTGGGTAATATTTTCACTTTGTCTTCTCCAATTTTCTCTTTCCTACAAATATATTTAATATTATTACAATAATACTGATTTAAAAAAAATTAAACTTTACTATAAATTATATAAACTTACATTGATTCTCTCTCATTCGTATACAATGTATTTAGATTTGGCATTTGATTAGACGAAACTGAATCCAAGACAAATATATGTATACGTTTACTTGCACCTAAAAATAATCCCCATAATGATCTTTGACGATTTGCACTCCAATGATGGTATAAAAATATATAATTAATTGATTCCCACTAAAAAAAGAAATGATTTTTAAATATTACACAAAAATATTTTAGGTTTCAAAAGTTTTATATAATTCTACTACCTGTTGAAGATATGGTTGTACAGCAATACTTTTAAATTGTAATTGATCTAATGAAAATGTATCAGCTCCATCAGGTATTTTTCTTATTGACTTGGGATCCACAATACATATACATCCTAATTGAAGTATAGCTCGAAATTCTAATGAAATTTGAGTTTCATAAATTCCTTCGATATATGGTTTGGCTAAGTCCGAAATTAAACCTCTATAAAAAAGATATGTATATATAGAAAATATTATAATATTTAGTTGTAGTATATAATGGTATGATTATATGCGTATGAATTTATAATTATATCCTACTGATTGTGTTGTTGATACAAGGTTTCTGGTACTGAATATTGATAAAGATTATAAACTTTACGCGATCGTGGTAAAATTCTCGAACACTTTCTCCACAATTGATTTGGAGCAGGATCAGATCTTGCTTCACGACTATTAACATAAAAGATACGAGGTACCATAAGACGTACTTGTCGCAAATCATTTTCCACCATAATCCATAATCTAAACATGCCAGGTTCATTTGTTGGGGTCAACTGTTAAATGAACATATATCAAATCAAATTTTGTAATATACACAGATCGATACTTATGAAAACATTAATTTATGTACTTCAACAATTTGCCACGGAGTCTGAAGTATTTGTTTCTGTGCACGTCGTAAGAAACCAGATAACGTTGTCGAAGATTGAGGATTTCTTATTACACCAAAACTAGATTCGTTGTCATCGTTTAATAATTTACTTCTTTTCTTATTATGTTGTCCTCTTTGCTTAGCTTGGAATTGCCATTTTTTTTTGTGAAACTCTAGCCATTTTAAAAACTCCTCCTGTTTAGCACAATTACATATAAATAAAGATTTTAATAAAGAGAAGGAAAATTTATTAATAATTAATTTAATAATATGAATATACTTTTGTCGTTCCCCTAGGAGGTGGCGAACCTAATACTTCTTTCCAACTTTTATTTCTAATGTTATCTTCTTCTTCTTCGCTGTTTTTTCTTTTTCTTTTTATAACACGTGCGACAGGTACTTTGAAAGTATTTTTTTTACCACCTATTAAATCTTCTATGTCATCAAGTTCTTCAGCGCCCGTACTACTACCGCTTTGATCATGATTACTATTATTACAACCAGATGTACTTGCTTGGTTAAAAAAGTCAGTAATTTGTTTTTGTTTGTGAGTTGCGTTCTTTTCCATTACTTTTTTATATAACCAATCTGGATGTTGGACTCTTGGAACTGGATTTGGAAGCTAAAAGATATAAGAAATTTAATTTCATTATCTTTATATTTTTTTAAATATTGATATATGCATACCCCTTGCATAGCTGCTGGTATAG